TATACTTTACTTCTGCTGTAAAATGCAGGGGGAAAAAACAACAACAAAAGGGGGCAAAAAGAATCCATCACACAGTACGACACTGACTTGAAAGTGCTGCTTCTTCAGAACCTAAATTTTGTGGGTGTTATATACACCAAGACACAGAGCAGGCAAGAGAGGAGAGGCATGGGGAAGCAGAGTTGTACCATTCCAATCACAATTTAAAGTACACATGAACAGACCTCAGATATACTGAAATTGTACTGTGATGAAAAGATATGAGTTGTACCATTCTCTCATATGGATTAAAACAGTCGAAGAGTGTGAGTAATGCATGTGATGTGTGGAAAGCACCTAACATTTTATTCTCCCCAATTTCTGGGCAACAGAATCCACTAAAGAGATTGAGATGTAAGCAGCTTACATCGATCTGTAGTGACCCTCCCAGTTACACCAGCACTATTCAGATGACGTGTGATGCAGGGAAGGGAAGGTAAGCAGAGGGAGAGAGACCAAGGGCTGGATCCTGTGACCTAGAGACAGTCTGACATCTGTTTAACTAGGGGGGCAATACTATTGATCAACATCCCAGTAGGCCATTGACATCTCAAAAGTCAAGATCAGGCACAGTGATTCTTTCCTCCATTCTCACCCAGACCTCCTCCTCCTGCCCCACCTTCATTGGCTACATGATAATCTCCGACTCAGGTGTAGAATTACTTATTGGTCTCACTCTTAGTCCCTCTCCGACACTTCGCATTTATAACTATCATCGAAGTAGATACCATATTGTTGTTTTCTTCCATGACCTGGAACTCTATGAGGCATTACAAAGGAATGCAAGATTTCTGTTGTCTAAGTTAAACACAGAAGGTTAGATGCATACTAAGCTCGTTTCACTATAGCTACAGCCTTTAACTGGAAGCAGATCCCATTGAACTCAATGGGCTTACATCTGAACAGACATGTATAAAACTGCACTTTTCATTCCCATTACAATCTAGGGGACAAGGCATCATTAGTTTAATTCTGTTGATTACAATAGAACCTAAACTCACCTTAGTCTGGATCCAACCTAGAGTGGCATTCTGCATGTCTGAAGAAATTCACACCACATTATTTTACCTTATTTCCCACATATAAAATATCTAGGTGAGGGACAGGACCCAGCAAGTTGAGCACCAGCTATTTTTTATGAACAGTGAGGAAAGCAGAAAAAAATCGGTTTATTGAGATGGCATACATGTATAACAGTTCACCAGGGTCTCAATAAATCTAGCTGGTGAGCTGCATTAGGCTTAGTGGTTCACAGACTGGAGCTGCCATCGTTATTATTAATTTTTTGCAAATCCAGTGAAATGTACCAAATAGGTTCACACTGATGGCGAAATCAGACATTCACTGATCAGATGAGGTCAGTTGCTATTTTAGTACATGAAACAACAGTTTGCACTCATCTCTGCTGTGAAGCAGCATGGGAGCGAGGAATTTCTTCAAGATACACACCCCATTGCCTATAACGTCTCAATGGGAGAATGTGAAAGTCAATGTGTACATGAAATCAAACAATGTACATTTGGATTTTTATCATTAGGAAATGCAACACTGCCCGCACACCTCCTTTGCGGAAGACTGTGTGAAAGCTCACACAATATAGGTTACTTCAACAGCTCAGGGGAGACATGCCACACTTCTGCAGAGTGACAGTACCACCAAGAGCATAGGGGGACGGATCACATACTTGGAGCAGTTGAATGTTAACCCATGGTAAGGGCTGGTATTGAGCTCCACAGATATGGTGTTGAGGTCTAGAGAATGCAAGATGTGGAATGAGGTTAAAAAGCTCCTCACACAACTTCCCCGAGCACAGTTCTTTAGACTCACACAAGCATTTACCTACAATATTGTGAAGTCAGAGGAATTTGTCCCCTGTGGAATATCAGTTGCAGAAGTTAATTCTGAAGTGGAAGTGCCTGGGGAGGGGGCTTCTCAACTTTATTAAATCTATGCTAACATCGCCCAAAGCCAACTGACATGCCTAAGGGTGAAGCCAAGTCTAAACCAAACAAGACCATTTTGGGCCCTAGAACAATAATACCAAAAACTGGGATTTTTTTTTTAACGTTTTCACTTGAAAATACTTCTCCATATAATATACCTCTCAACACAAACATACATACAGACAATTTAACATAGCAATAGTTAATGTTCATTTCCTCAGAAAACAGAAGGAGGTATCTCAGGGGCTTGCCTGGTGGGACAGAGGCAGGGGCCTCACTGGTGCTTACTGAGGTGGGCTAGATGAATCAGTGGCAAGGTCAGGGCTGTGCAGAAGCTCCCACTGGAGTGTCCACACAGCCCTGGCCTCATGCCACCCAGTACGTGGCAGCAGTGACACTGGTCCTAGGAGGCTCTTCCTGCAGCTCCACTCACCAGGTGAGCCACTCCTGTTTTTAGCAGTTCTATGAAATCCAGTCATATTTATTTAGGAACAGGCAGCTCTATGCCACAGTTTTCATTGGTCAAAAGACTAGAGAAGGCTGTATCCCATTTCCTAGTTACCTATCAACCTAAGAAAAGAGACTGTAAAGACTGAAATAGGATAAAGTAAATGTGGGGCTGATGAACATGTCCAAAATTTGACCTATGGTGGCTGTGCAGGACCAGTGAATGAATGAAACACACTAAGAGCTCAATCCTATATGTATTAACTCAGAAGTAAACCCCAGGTGTTCAATGAGGATTACTCCCTAGTATGTGTGTGTAGGATTACATCCCAAAACTCAGAATCTGGTGCTTTGCAGTTCATTTAATCTTACTTTCATATTCCATTTCCTATCTATGGATTTCTGCCAATGCTTCCTGTTCATAACAACTGTTTAAACAGAAACTTTTACAAGCAGTGTTTAGCAAGCTATTTATTCCACCTCTACAAATACATTTGGCTGTTAATGGGATAATGGGGAAATGAAGTCCACACACATATGCATAAGCAAGCACATCGTCCAAAAGAGAAATACTTTAACTTTCACCAAAAAACACAAACCCTCAAAATCAGAAACCCTTTGGCACTAAAAACAAAAGCCTTCTGTAAAGCTGTTCGGATATCTATGAGATGTTTTTTTAAAAAAATAAAACAAGACTTAAGACTGAAACCCAAAAGGCCTTCTCCATTAAGGGTAGACTTCCATTTGTTTGCAAAGCTCTGTCCTTCAGTCATGGAAGCACCCAGAGTTTTCTGAATCGTGCCTTGAACCTATAAAACTGCTGTAGCTACAGAGAGTGCATAAAACAGAAGTAGTCTTAGCAACTATAGCTTCCCAATATGCATCCTAGAATTGTGGGTGTGCTTGCAAACATGTTGCTTTGTGCACATTCACATGCTACATTTTTATCCGCACACTTAGAAGATCTCCTACGCTCGTCTTGAACATGCAGTACAGTATAAGAATTGGCCCTGAGAAGTGTAAAAACTTCCTGGATCTGCAATCGCCACAGAATCATTGCCTGTAACCTTCAAAGCTCAAAGTATTTCTCAAACACTGTCATAGGCTTTATTGTTGGTTTGGTGAGATTGCAGAGAGCTAGGTGGATTCTGATGGGGGGTAGTTGGAAGAGGTTTTGAACAAAGTACTGGCATTGGGGAAATGCCCAGGAAAGAGCTCACATGCTATCGGAAACATAACATCACAGGGTTATGTTGCACAACAGAATGCACACCAGCTCTGGCTCCCTGCAACTTCTGAGAATAGTACCCCCTGAGCATTGTCCTCCTGGGGCTTCTACTGCAAAGTCTCCTAGGGCACTTCCAGATTGGGGTTTGATTCAATCACATACTGATAAATGCAGGCTGGGCTGCACAACTATAGTTGCTTGGGAGGTCTTGTGCAACAAACCCCCAAATATTGGACTTTTTGCAATAAGTGAGAGGGGGAACAAAATAAAAAAATTCCTTCCAGTAGCACCTTAGAGACCAACTAAGTTTGTTATTGGTATGAGCTTTCGCATGCATGCATAGGTATCTGAAAAAGTGTGCGTGCACATGAAAGCTCATACCAATAACAAACTTAGTTGGTCTCTAAGGTGCTACTTTCTTGGGCTCCATGATCACGGCAGATGGTGACAGCAGCCACGAAATTAAGAGACGCCTGCTCCTTGGGAGGAAAGCAATGACAAACCTAGACAGCATCTTTAAAAGTAGAGACATCACCTTGCCAACAAAGGTCCGTATAGTAAAAGCTATGGTTTTCCCAGTAGTGATGTATGGAAGTGAGAGCTGGACCATAAAGAAGGCTGATTGCCGAAGAATTGATGCTTTTGAATTATGGTGCTGGAGGAGACTCTTGAGAGTCCGATGGACTGCAAGAAGATCAAACCTCTCCATTCTTAAGGAAATCAGCCCTGAGTGCTCACTGGAAGGACAGATTGTGAAGCTGAGGCTCCAATACTTTGGCCACCTTATGAGAAGAGAAGACTCCCTGGAAAAGACCCTGATGTTGGGAAAGATGGAGGGCACAAGGAGAAGGGGACGACAGAGGACGAGATGCTACCAGCATGAGTTTGACCAAACTGCGGGAGGCAGTGGAAGACAGAAGTGCCTGGCGTGCTCTGGTCCATGGGGTCACGAAGAGTCGGACACGACTAAACGACTAAACAACAACAACAAGGTGCTACTGGAAGGAATTTTTTTTGTTTGTTTCAACTATGGCAGACCAACACAGCTACCCACCTGTGATAGGGGGAATGCACTGATACGCTGTCTAGCCTCTCCACAAGCAAGTCAGGGTGAATACTCCATCTGGAGGCACCTTTAGCATGTCTGGCACACAGCACAGTTGGCCATTTGCCATTCCCAGCAAGAACCTGACTCTGATGACCAACAGCATCAACCACAAATATGGTTTGTGGATATGCTTTTGTGCAACTCCCATTCATTTACACAGATCTTGTGCAGGAGAAGCTCCTAGTGGCTCATGTGACCCCTGACTTTTATGTAAGTAAATCCAAACAAGTCAAAGTGCATTACTGAAACATTGTTTATATCAGTTTTGTATATAAATATATATTTACATACACACACAATTTCTCATCACGCTTGTTTCAGGAAAAATAAAACCAGGAAACCCCAAGATAAGAACTCCAAGGAAATGCTGCTGCTCACCCAGGTTAGAAGAAATCATCATTGTGATGAAATGTCAGAAGTTGGGAAACAAACCCTCACTGATGTACCTTTTTAGTTCAACAGATACTGCAGGTTGGAATTAAACAAAAAAAATTCCACCATCATAAATACAAGACCTCAAACAACCCAAAACTGAGCTAGATTTAATTTGTTAAAAAAATCAGAGAAACCCACAACACAAAGTCAGCTGTTCCTTCGCAAAGGATTATTTCCTTTCTTTCATAAGAAAGGCAGAGCTCTTGAGTGAAGGCAGACAAGTTGCATACATTTTCTCAAAGTGAGCTGGAGAAAAACCACACTGCAGGGATGGTTTTTAAGGGCTTTCATGGCCCCACGGACGCACAATGTTATGGAAGATGCTTGGAACAGATGACAGGGGACGAGGGGCAACACAATACTGAAGCAGTGATAACTCTGCAGAAGGACAGAGTGTCAGGCCAATCCCTTTTAAACCTTGTATGAATACAAGATGAGATGGCTGCATATTTCCACCTTTGAGTGTTAAACTCTTTCAAAAACACAGAGTTAACAAGACAATCCTCCCAGGCCATCAATGCTCTGTCAGTGAAGATGCACTTGATCCATCTGTGTTTTGTTATGCAGCTCTCTTGTTCAAGCCAACAGGAAAACTTGGGAAGTACCCATTTTCTTTTCAAGAGGAGGGGGGTGAAGGACATGCATAAATTCCAGATACCATGTATTCAAGGGCCTGCCTGTGCCTCTTTGCAGGTTCATCATCGCTGTGCACTGTTTTCAATGGGAAGAATAGAATGGTGGAGAGCTCTTGTGTGCTGCTTGGGGTCTAATGGTTCGTGTTCTTCTGTGAAACTGTCTGGGCTTCCTGCTCCATCTAATGAGCTTCCACAGCTTGAGTTTGGAGACAACATGTCCTGAAGAAGGTCCTCTTGCACCAGGCCACTCTCTTTGCTGACTTTACCCCTTTGGTTTCCTTCTTCTTCCTGGTCATTGAGCAGCTTGGCCAAGAAATTGATGTATTTCATAGCCAGGCGTAAGATTTCGTTCTTGCTCAGCTTTTTGTCAGGCGGGTGAGTTGGGATGAGCTTGCGGAGCTCAGCAAAAGCTCCATTGACATTCTGCTGCCTCCACCTCTCCCGGCTATTTGTGAATATTCGACGGACCACCTTTGTGTGAGGACCTAAAAATAAAAAGAAATGCAAGCTTAGCAGTGACAGAATTCATGGGGAAACAGTAACATGAACACATCGAAACAACTTATTAAAGTGTGGCTTTCAAGTAGGGATGGGTGAATCTCTCATTTTTCCCATCTTGAATTCAGTTCACCATATTTCTGCATCAGTTTGCAATTTTTTGAATTAAAAAACCTCACAAAAATTACTCAGCATTTTAGTGTAAATTTCCCCTAAAATACACTACTCTGTATGCAAATTTTGTTTGTATGCAAATGTTTCAGTTTGTGTATTTTTTCAGAAGTGTGAATTAGATATGGTTGCATAAAAACTGGATTTCTCCTTCATTCCTACAGTACAATCTGTAGATATCTTAGCAGAGCTTGCAGGTACACTTTTCATCACTGGAATGGGAGACAGAAATTAGACAGGTGCCCAATTCTTTCTTCTCATAAGGTGTGACACAAACTATAATCAGTTCGTATTTCAACCCAATCTCTTCTGCAGCAACATAACCTGAGGTCTCATCCCACAGTGCAACTTGGCTAGCTACTAATCAGAGAATCCTTAACAGAAAGGAATATACATACAGCACTTCAGGGAGACACTATCTCTATCTATCTATCTATCTATCTATCTATCTATCTAATCTATCTATCTATCTATCTATCTATCTATCTATCATCTATAGCATATTGGTGGTGGTGGGTGCTAAATTGACACTTTTCAATATTGGGTCAGTTACTGTCTCTTAGCCTAAGCTACCTCACAGGGTAGTTGTGAGGATATGATGGGGAGGCGGGAAAGCATATATGCCACCTTGAGTTCCTTGAGGGAAAGATGGGATATAAATCAAACAAACAAACAAACAAATATTATGCAGACTGTGAATTGTTTCATCTTACAAAAATTCATAACACCCAGTTGGATAGTCTGGTGTTCATGATATGACACATGCTATGTGTATTGGGGTCCTTAAGATCCACCAAATACTCTTATAACTGAGGCCCAGTGTTGAGGAGGGGGCCAAGAGAGAGAGAGAGAGAACTTCAACTGCTTGGTACAGAATGCATCCCAAGTTGGCTTTGTTCCAGTGAAAAAAAGCTTCTGCTTGTGCAAGGCAGGGCCCCTAATTTTTGTCACACGTACACAAAAGACCTCCATCTACTGCAACCCTCTGGTTCATATTCCATACTGATCAGGAGGGTCTCCTAACCATCAGAAACAACTTTTCAGGGGACACCTGGGTTGCAGTGGGTAGGAGAGATTAGTTGAGGTGCCCATTGAGACTGGTATGGCAGAAGTCAGAGTGGCGCACAGTAGGTGGAACCATGCCTAGGCAGAGCCAACTAATTCTAGTTTTGCCCCATCCTCCTCATTACTGAGTTCCATAATGATAACACTGAGGACTCAGTGATAAAGATGCAAATAAAACATTTTAAATGTGTTGTGAAGTGCAATATACAAATGTGACACTAGAGGGCGAAAGTGAGCTATGCCAAATTCAATGTATTTTTCAAAACGTTTTTTAAAAGCATTTTCGCAGCATTTTTTTAAAAAAAAATATGTGTGTAGATTCCACCTGAGAGTAATGAGGAGGAAGCTGACAACCAACAATGCCCCTCTCTGGACTCACTATACAAAAGATGGCAGGCAGGTGGGAACTTTGACTTGGGCTGATGGGGCATTGCTCCATTCCTCCAAACAGACTAGCTTCTCCTGGAGATCAGTAAAAATCATCTTGGGCAAACAGAAATGATTTCCACTAGTGCAAAACCGCCATGGATACAGCCCAATAACTGTAATTCACAACCCATTTCCAGCAATTTGCACATACTCAATTTTAGCAGAATTCAATGCCCGTTGGCAGTCACCTCCCAAGGGAAAGGGGCCTAGGACCCAGCAGTTCCCCACAAGTTAGTCCACCCAACAATCGAAGCAGGAAATTGATCGTGTGGGATACGCCCACCTGATCCTAACAGATGATCCTGCTCAATGCTCCAGAGGAAGGCGAAAAAGCCCCGGTGTCTGCCAATGTGCCGCGGGGGGAATTTCCTTCCCGATGCCAACCCAGGTGACCAGGAAAACCCTGTGCATAAGAGCAAGAATCACCACATGTTACAGCAGAAGGCAGTAGCAAGTGTCATTCCCCTGTCTTTTCCATAAGCAATGTTTACCCTTATATTCTGCATGAATTATGCACTGTGCAGATGAAGGAGATTGCACATACTTGACTTACTAGGCATTGTGGAACGCCCTCCCTTCAGATGTCAAAGAGATAAACAACTACCTGACATTCAGAAGACATCTTAAGGCTCAGGGAAGTTTTTAATGTGTGACATTTTAGTGTATTTTTGGTCTCTGTGGAAGCCGCCCAGTGGCTGGGGAAACCCAGCCAGATGGGAGGGGTACAAATAATAAATTATTATTATTATTATTATTATTATTATTATTATTTACTTCAGCATGAATTTGGCATTTTTTAAATCAGCAGCACTGGTGGCAGTGGTGAAGGGTAACTGGACTGAGTGGGCAGTCAGGTATCAAGGGTCTCTTCAAGTCAGGGGGCTGGAGATGTAATGAGGTCAACTGTTGCAATAGGGAAATCTGAATCGATAGTTATTAAGCGGAGGAAGCTGTTGCTCAAAGCTGGCTTTGGTTCTCAGTTTGCAAAGGGATAAGCACTAAGGCAAAAAAACTTATTGATGGATCCCCTGTCCTCTGATCCAGAAGCCAGGTGAATGGAATTGACAGAGACAGGGTCAACTCTAGGACTCAAGGAGCAAATTGCCCTCTGGCGGGTCTTCTACATTCGTGGGCACTGCAGACTTACGTGGTGGCAATGACATCCTGCTAGGAGGCTCCATTTCAATTTTCACACAGTGCCCCTGACAGAACATTGTCATGGGCCACTAAAGGAATCACAAAATGGTGGTTGTCAGGCTATATTGGCAGCATTGTGGGGAATTTTAAAATGCCAAATTCAGGGCAGACGTCACTGTCAGTGACCTCTGATTCAGTACTGGGGCCTCGGCAGTGGCCTGGTGCTGACACCAAGCCTGGACTGAGATGAATTAATGCTTAAGAAAAACAATTCTTCACATGCTCACAGACACTCTGCTTTTAGTCACACCAAGAGCCAATTCCCTCCTGACAATCCACACTTAATATACAATTATTTTGAAACCAGGAGTGGCTGTCTTCTCCCCCAGCAGCACCACCCTGTACATATGCCTGGGTGGGTCTGCAAGGACTGGCTTCCTGATGTATACGTTGCAAGGAAGAAATAGCCCAGTGCATCCATCTCTGCATACAAAATTACATAGTTTGTCTCTTTATTCAGAGTAGAGATGGGCAATTGCTGAGAAAAGCAGACATGTGTCAAGGATTTATTTAGGACTGGTATTCCAGGAGGTGCCTATTTGAGTAGGGCTGCCATATGTCCAGGAATTGGACTGCCAAAATGGCGTCTGGGTGGATTTTCACAGAATTGGCCAAATGTCGGGGGGAATCCAGATGTATGGCAACTAGAGCAATATTTTTTTAAAAAATGCTTTAAAAAACACTTATTTTTTTGGAAGATGCTCCCCAAAGGTCAACAACTTTTCCGAATTTTAACTTTTGGGAATATGGCGACCCTGTATTTGAGATCCTTGTGCCCTTCTGCATATACAGATTATAAATCCCTCCTTGCAGGAGGTTCAACAGAAGGAGCTCCACCTGCCTAACAGTTTTCATGACAAGAAGAGTGGCAGTAAAACTGGAAACTGGCCCTGTTCCAGATCCATTTATGCATGGCTTAAAAATATTGAGGGCTTATCTTAAGAACATGTCATGACTGAGAAAACAAATATTACATCTACTTCCACTGAAGCGCTCAAACTGAGAGGATATTTTTCACAACCCATGAGCAAAACTTCTTTTAAAAAAAAATAGAAATAAAAATCTAGCATTATCCAAATTGATCTGCCAATCTAAATTTTACATCCTGAGTTTTGATGGCTGAACTAAGCACTAAGCCCTAAAAACTCTTTGACTGTGGAGACATTTTTCTTAAGTTACGGGGGCATTGGTGGCATTGAGCTTTTTTCATTGGATCACAAACTTGGTAGCTGTGAAAAAGTTGTGAGAAGGCAACTCTCTATCCCCCAGACCTTATACTTCAGATCAACCTACTGCAGCAACAGTAGAGAATCTCTGGCCCACAGACTTAACTAGGGCCAGCAAGGGTCCCAGTTTGGCCTGCAAAGCTATTCCCAACAAGCCACACCCAACTGTCAAAGTTGATCCATTGGGTTGCAGATAGATAGTGATCTGGCGCACTGAGCCAAAAAGATTCCCCACCTTCTTTAATATACCAGAAGCCTTATCCTGTGGACTTGATTTCATGCATTTATTTTGGGGTGAAAGAGGGTCTCTGTTTGGGGAACTGCTCCAGGAACCCCAACCATCTTACCTGGCCTTGGAGAAAGTCATGTGTTGCAGGCACATCTGAAGTAATCTCAGTTCATAAATAAGATGGAATATGAACTCTCATCCCACAGATACAAATCCAACTTTTTAGTCCTGGTCCCATCAGTGTACCACATCCAATCTACCGCATCACAGAGATCACAAAGTTCTACCTTAGTTTCCCTGAACAAGTTGGCGTTTTGCCAGCTGATTGGTGCACATCTTTTAGACTAAAAATACTTCCCAAGTCTTGCCTTTGAGGACGAAAAGCAGGGGTAGTTCACCAAAAGCCCAGCTCCCCTCCCCCAAGTTCTTCCCTATGGCCCCTGAGAATTTAGCGGCAGCAATGGAACAAAAAATAATGATGATGTCCTCACCAGCATTGGGACTCTGCTGTCGCATGGAGGAGTACCCGCCATAGGTTTCTGCTGTAGAGGGGTGAAAAGAAGGAGGGTACAGGGAAAATTGTGTTCAGTCATGGAAAATTGTCCTGAGATTGCTATCTAGGGTCATGGTTTCAAATCCCACCCAACCTCAGCGGTGTGTGTGTATGTGTCCTGGAGACAGTGGGTGTGAATGTAGGGCAACCTCTTAATCACCCCACACACTTTTTCGGTCACTGGCACGAGGCACATGGAGAGGTCCCCAGAGGTCAAAGCAGCCCACAGGCCACCCTTGACATAATGCAAAACTGCATTTAGAATGGATTGAATCAAATATATTAGGATCATTGTTGGTTTGGGCTTCTGTAGGCTTAGGGCTCATTGGGGTTGATCATTTTCTGCTTTCTTTTCTTAGCTTGTTCAGGTGACAGAACCACAGAAATACCCCACAGAGTTAATCCATCACAAAATTAATCCCAGTTTTTGAAAACGCCTGTAAAAATAATTGAATAGCCCTGGCGTGTGGATTCATTGTACAGCTTTTCCAGCAGCCTCCCAACCCAGGGTTGTGGCTTAGTGGCAAAGCATCTGCTTCGCATGCAGAAGGTCTCAGGTTCAATCCCTAGGAAGAGCTGGAGGAGACCCCTATCTGAAACCCTGGAGAGATGCTGCCAATCTGTGTACTTGTCAATACTAAGTTAGATGGGCTATGCCTCTGCATGTCCCCACTTTACATGTTTGCCTCAATGAGGACTGCTCTAGAACCAGTGTGGCAGCAGTTCCATGTAAATTGTTGGTTTGGTCTAAAATGAACACACTGGCAGAAGCTAAGTCCCTCACTGCCACAGGATAACTCTCATTTAAAAGACAGAGGATCCTCGCAAAGCTACTGAAGATGGTGATGCAAGACTAATCTTAAATTGAGGAATCCTCAATTTAAGATTAGTCCAGCTGCATTGTCATTTCAAATAGCTTGTCCCTGTGTCTTTTCAATGAGGCATCCAAATTATATCCAGTCCTTTTATAAATTGTGGAAATATCAATAGGTGAACAACTGAGTTAGCAACAGACAAAGTCAAATGTTGGATGAAATATAAAAATGGGCTCATTAATAGAGCCAGCACGACTGTTAATGTGAATATTGAGGATTACTAAGCATATGTAAAGCAGCATAGCTAGCAAGCAAGCAACCACCTTGCCAATATGGATGGAGGAAATGTCAAACCTGATATTTAAAATATAATATTAAAAGGGTGGGAGATATATTTCAATCTTTTCAGTGATTTTTTTTTTAGTTTTGTTTGATCCCTAATTTAAACATAAATGATTGAATAAGCGGCAAGATCATGACCACTGGATATTTCTATTGCTTTGAAATACATTACAAATCCTCACCATGTTCTGTAAGTAGCGACCTCTCACTGGGAAGGAGTTCTGACCTCCAAATGGCATTTTGCCAGTTAATTACCCTGGGATTATCAGGCTGCCATGGTCACAATAACCCAATTTCTCCATAGCAGTTCTTGAGCATATGAGGTGTGGGTGACAGCATGTGTCCCATTCATGGAATTAGTTCCAGGGGTTTTTAACAAAGTTTCTACTTCATGTCATTATCCCACATCAATAAAACCTGCTCTGCATCCTCACTTTGGCTTCTTTGATTCACGACCTGCACAAGTTGTGCCCCACTAAGGCAAACCCTCTTTGTCATATTGCTGCCTACCTAAGGCTACGAAAGGGCTGTCGAGAATCTGGACATGACTAATTGGGCTGTGTTCAGCTTGGTGGTTACAAGAACACATGCCCAGTTTATACACAGTCCAGACAGGCTAGTAGTACTTCTGGGGCTTAAGTTCATGTCCTCAGTATATATAAGCCAAGAAGGAACATCTCACCAGTCAAGTATACACTGATGCTTCACATGGTTCAGGTGTAAAGAAGCCTAAAATCAACCTTTTGCTCATAGGCAGCTTTTAAATTATTCCATGAACTTCAAGGCCAGTATATATACATTCATAGTTTCCAGCAACTGGTGCTCAGAGGCATATGCCTTCTCTGATAGTGGAGGCAGAGCATAGGCATCAGTAGTAGCCACTGATAAGCCCTCTCCTCCATGAATTTGTCTAATCCTGTTTTGAAGCCATCCATGTTGGTGCCCATCGATGCCTCTTGTGGAAGCAAATGCCACAGTTCAATGAGGCTCTATCAAGTACATTGTTTTGTCTGCCCTGAACCTTCCAACATTCAGTTTCAGGGCATGAAGAGAGAGGGAGCGTGACTTCTCTCTCTCCACTTTCTCCACACCTTACACACCTCTATCCTGCCACCTGTCTTACTCATCTCTTTTTGTTTTTTTAAACAAAGAAAGGCTCAAGTGTTGTAACCTTTCCTCCTGTCCTGTGATCGTTTTGGCTGTCCTTTAGTTATTCTTTTTCCAGCTGCATAATATCCATTTTGAGGTAAGGTGGCCAGAACTGGACACAATAGGTTCCTATAACAGCATCACGATATTGGCAGCTTTATTTTCAGTCCCATGGAATTTGCATTTTTCTCAGCTACAATATTGTGTATTGCTTCAAAATGTGGTCAGCCAGTCCTGCTGCTTTAGAGGACCCTCCTTCTTGTTCTGCTGATTGAGGCCCTGGGCTTCTGCACCCAAGTCCAGCCCTGAAAGCTCCAGAACATCTGGACACATGACCCAGCTGAAGGTCCAAAGGCCTCACCCCCTCAAACCCCATCCAACACTGATGGCTACGCTCCTTTGATTTCCAAAAACTGGTTTTGCTTAGTGCATATTGCCTAAATACATGAATAACTACAGGACCAGGGCAATATAGTAGGCAAATATTGTCTTCTCCCTCCTAGGGTGGTCATCAACTAAGCTTTACTCAGAGTAGAAGAACCACAGAACTTAATGGACCTAACTTAGTCATGCCTATTCATTTCAATGGATCTGCTCTGAGTAAAACTTTAATGAATACCACCCAATTGGTTTCATCCCAACATTTTCCCATTATTGCTATTGTCACCATCATCATCACCACTATGAAGCCAACACGGTGCCTTCCAGGTGCTGTAGGACTATAGCTCCCATCATCTCCGGCCATTAGTCATGCTGGCTGGGGCTGATGGGAGTTGGAGTCCGACAACTATGTTAATTACCTCTGATTTATGTACTTAGGCATCATATATTCACCAAATGCAGATCCTTAAGTTGCCAAAATGACACACCATCCACACACAAGAGGGAAGTGATAGCAGGCTTGGGGGAACCTCAATGTTTACTAGGTACAAAAATCATTTGGAGGGGGGAGGAAAACCTGAAAGCAGGACAACAGCCCAAGCAGAACTCAGCATGCTGAATGGCTATGGAATGCTGTGGAGTAAAGGAAGCATGACAGGAGGTGTGGCTGGCTGGAACGCTGAGCAGAAGGACTGCTACTACAACGTTTTGTTGCAAGTTCCACCTGTAGATCATAATCTGTCCGTCCCCCGTCCCCCCGCCAGCACAAAAATAACAGGAAATTAACTAGCAGATCACAGTTCTTGAGACTCTCAAATTTAAAAAGCTTCCTCACCATCAGAGAGCTCCACTTCATAGGGGGACGGTCTTCTTTTTACTCGGTTGTTGCTGTACATTGAGAAGTTATCTGGCTCTCCAAAGAAACCACTGCAAAGCAAGAGGCAGAACACAGGAGAAAATGAGAGAGTACAGTACTGCAAGGCAGATCTCTGCTGAGGACACTGGGCAGTCTTTGAATGTACTCCCATTCAGCTGAGCATATGCAGAGAGAGTGTGAGTGTGGGAAGGGGGGCATTGTGTGATGAGCATTCATAACATCACACATATATGCACATATTACAGATGCTCATCACACACACCGAGAAACCTTGAGCTGCAATTCTAAGCACATTTATTTGGATGTAAGTTCCCCTGAAACTCATTCACCTTCTAAATAAGATGCTCTTAGGATTCAGATGTATTACACGCGGGCCTGAAGCACTTTCAGAGTGCTTCTAATGGAAGAATTAAGGTATACTTTGCAGCACCTTTTTTTAAGCCCAAGGGATGCTTACCAGGGTTAAAGGATTTGTGTAACAAGGGGGGGAAATCTTTGTGGAAGCATCTACTAACCTCAAAGAAGGCTTGGCCCTGGCATGACAGAGCTTTTTAATATACATATGAATTGCGATTAAACTGCATTGCATTTCTGCAGGCAGTGAAAAGGAACCTCAACAATTTCCTAACTAATGGAGGCAACACATTGATTAAACACTCAGAATAATCCCTGGGAGGAAATGTTTTCTCTCTGTTTTTGATCTATTCCACTATAGACAATTTCTCGGCGAGGGAGGGTGGGAGAGGGATCCAGAGCGCTAGCATTACCTTTGTTACTTTAAGGCTATCAACGTCTGCTAGTTAGTAATGCTAGTTAGTTCAATGGCATTTCACGGCACAGCCTTTTTTACAGTTCTAGCCCGTACACTTAACAAATGGCATTAAAAAAAAAAAGACCTGCCAGTCAACGGGTTCCTTCATCATTATTGTTTTTAAAATGATGCATAATTGTGGTTTAGAAAATAACGTATACAGAGGGGCCACTGAATTTGATTGTCAATAGAGAACAGGCGATCCACCAGAGAGAATCTGTTTCCTTCTGGCTCCTATAGACGAAGGTGGCGGCTATTAATTTCGTAGCAAGTAAGGCAAAAAATCAATTCTCTCTATGGCAAGCGGACAAAAGGGAAAGGCAGACACAGCTCAGGTTTGGCACTCAGAGGGCATAAGAAGGCGAGAGGACAAAAAAAAAGAGCGGGGAAAGAAACAGATGTTGGTTTGTAAAAGAAAAATGAAGGAGAGAGAGGAAGCGTGGGGGCATGGCAAAGCCCCCAAACCAGAGCATGAGACTCTTAAACTCAAGGTCGTGGGTTCGAAGCCTACGCTGGGCAAAATATTCCTCCACTGCAGGGCCCTCGTGCTCCCTTCCAATTCCACAATTCTGTGATTCTGTGAAACCGGAGGACATCCTCGACAATGGTGGCATATGACAAAGGCGACCCTAAGCAAACCAAGCCGAGAACGGATGGCCCAGGCAGAAAAGTCCCTTCCTCCCCCCTCTCCCTCCCCCGACGCTGCGGCGGACCTGCTGGCGGTGCTGAGCGGGGGGCCGAGGCCGTAGAGCATGGCTCGCGCAGGTGGCTGGAGCGGGAGCGCGGGGGCTGCCGTGGGGCTGAGCTGCACCATGCGGGCGTCGCTGCTGGTGTTGCTGCTGCTGCTGCTGCTGAGGCTGGCGCTGGCGGGGGGCGTGCCCGTTCCTGTGCCCGCGGCGGTGGCGAGGGCGAGAGCAAGGGCGCTGGCCGGCTCGGCGCGCTGCGCTCGGCTGTTGGTGCTGCTGCTGTTGGTGCTGCTGCCTCCGTCTCGCTCGCGCTGGCTCTGCCTGGCGCCGCTCGGCGCGTCCGCGGCTTTTATAGGGCGCCCGGCGCGCACCAGCTCGATCACGGGCACCGGCGCGGCGGGGGGCGCCGGGCCGGGGGAGGGGGGCGGCCGGCCTGTCTCCTTGGCAACCCCATTGAGCAGCGCCGGCTCCCCCGGGAGGGCCATCCCCCCGCGCCTCCGATCGCCAACGCCGCCGACGCTGTGGCTGCCCGAGCCCAAGCCCAAGTCCGGCTCGCCGACGCCCTCCGCTGCGGCTCCGGCTCCGTGCGCGGCATCCCGCGGCGGGTCACTGGGGGGCCTCTCCATCAGCATCCTGGGGAGAAAGAGGGAGAGGAGAGCCGTGAGGGAGGGAGGGAGGGACGCGCGGGGGGCGGGGGAGGGGAGGGAAAGGAGGAGAAAGGGAAAGTGGAGGAAGAGGAAGAGGAAGGAAGGAAGGAAGGAAGGAAGGAAGATGAAACGGGGAGGGAGACGAGGGAGGAAAATTGCGCTCAGGGTGAAGAAAGGAGAAGGGCGAACGAGACGAGCTTCCAACCCCAAAAAAGGGCTGGAAGACTGGGAGGAGGAAGGATCGGGAAAGAAAGCGACGCCTTCCCCGCCCGCGACGTCGCCCGCTTGTCATTGGCAGCGCAGCGGGCGCCCAGAGGGGTTGGGCACCGGCTCAGGGCCGCTCAGCAGCCGCGGAGGACAGTTGTGCGGCTAGCAGGGCGCGCCGCGTAGAGCGCGCGGCCCTTGTGTGGCCCGGTGGCCGGGCAAGCTCGGGCGGGGACACCCACGCGAATCTAAGACGGGAGAAGAGGGCAGAGCAAAGGGGGTCCCTTCCCCAGCCTCCGGCTCTGAGACTTCCCTGCGCCCCAGGAAAGCGAAAGGATTTTCTCTTCAACCTGCCCTCCATCCTCTTGCGGAAAACTCTTTGCCCGCCCTGCCCATATCTCGTTTTTGCTTTTTAATTCCACACACGCACCCTTCGGACTTCGTGGCAATCGGGCGCGCATACCGCGCAAAGGTCTTACGCGGGTGCGTTTCCTAAGAGAGTGAGGGTGGCCTCGGGGAAGTCATTCTAACAGATATGAGGTGGGTGGGGAGAGCGGCCGGAGGATCAGATATCTACCATTTGGTGGAAGAGGAGGACGGTGGCAGAGTGACAGTGTCAACCAAAAGAGGAGGAGTTGTGCAGTGGGGAGAAGGAGACGGAGACGAAGGGAAGCCAGCAAAGCATCTTTGTTGCTGAAATAAAAAGAAAATCGCCACCATTCGCTGAAGCAGCCTGCGCGGAAGAGAAACTTTTTCATTCCACATTAATGTCAGGGATAATTGGGGGGGGGGGGGTAATAAGAAATCATATCATAATGGAAGAGTGAAAAGGAAGGAAGGAAGGAAGGAAGGAAGGAAGGAAGGAAGGAAGGAAGGAAGGAAGGAAAGAAGGAATTCACCTGTCTGTAATAACCTCTTAAAAAACATCGCTGTAACTGGGTTCCCATCTCCTTTTTTATTTATTCTACCGATCCAAAATTAAAATGAAATGAAAACTCAGGTGTTTCTTGAGTGAATCGCAATGCTGATGTATTCTGTTATGGTGTTTTTCCGGATAAAAAGGTAAAGGACCCCTGACAGTTAAGTCCAGTCGCGAACGACTCTGGGGTTGATATCAGCTTTTAAATTAACTTTGCATAGCCATATCGATGCCTTCAACTAATAATACTTTGGGGGCGGGGGGCTAATAGGACTCTCGTCCTGAGTGTTCCGTCTAGCCAACACTTGCCTTGCCTTCCTCGCTGCAACAAAGCGCGAAATAAAGGCACTTTCCCAAAGTCGGCTGCGCCCAGGCTCTGAGAACAGAGCCAGATTTGTTAACCTCCAAGCGCTCCACGAAATAGATGAATTATCCCGAACCGGAGCGCGCGCGCGCACACACAGCCAGTTAAATTCGAATATTTGGGCTTCACAACACATTTTAACTCGAATTCTCCCGATTACGTCAATAGGCCTTTCTCCAAGTAAATGTTCCGATCGGCGATAGTATTGTGATCAGCAGAACCAAACGTGTCTCAGTTCCAACTCTTCTGGCCGCCGCCAACACAGTTTTATTATAACGAACGGAGACCCTCCCCCTCGATCGCTTTGCAGCCATCAGATTTCTGGGGATCGCGATGAACTCTAAGGCTATTTGGTGGCACAGACTGCTGCGGGGGTGGGGAATGGCTTCCGGTTTGATCCAGAAACGCCAAACAACAGGAAGCTGTCTGTGAGCCCAAACTCGGTTTTTCCAACTATCTCCATAATACTTGCAGAGGGAGTAGCCGTGCTGATATCTTGACACCTCTCCCCGCCCCCCAAAAGGAGTACTGTTGCACCTCAAAGACTAAAATTTATTACGGCATAAGCTTCATCTTAAATACTTGGTAGACCAGGTAGCCCTTTCAGATGGCAATCCGATATGCACTTAATTGGAAGCAAGTCCCACGAGAATGAGGGGTGCTATCTTCCGAATATACATCCCTAGAACCGTCGTCCACCCACCTACACACACACACACACAACACATCGCTGGGGTGATTTTCCCGGAGTCCCTCTGAGTCCAAGGAGATTGGTTCCCGAGGACCGAGTGAAATATGTTAAGGATTTCAGCCTCAAACCGGCGGTCCTGGTTAGCTAGTGAATGGGTTGGTTTCGTTCAAGCAAACAGTAGATCAGGGCTCCCGTTTAAAGCAAGAACAAAACAAAGCACGAAGAAATAGAGGCGTTTGAAACGCAATTTATATTGGGGCTGATTGGCGGAGGGGGCCTAGAGAAATCCATATTTTATGGTGTTTCGTTTAAATCGCTTAAATGCAACGGAATTATTCCCGTCCGGCTTTCTCCGCTGAGCTGTTAATTTCACGCCTGGAGCATAAATCCGGTCAGCGCCTCGCTCGGCTGCATAGAAAAACCGAGGCTTATATTGGTTTCTGGCGAACTGAAACCACAACAGCCCCCGGGGATCGGCCGAGGAGTTGTCTCTGCCCACCCAGCGGGGCTCTCCTCCGAACATTGGCGCGTCGAAAGGCAAGCAAGACCAGCGCCTGAAGCGGGGAGCGGAACGCGGGGAGCCCAAGACCATTGAGGGCGGGTGGCCTAACCCAACTCCTACGCTTGTTGGACCTCAAAGGTCAAAACACCACGCTGAGTTTCTTGAGTACATAAGGAAGGATTCCCAACGCCTTGGCTACTAGTGCATAGGGTCTTAATTTAATAATAATAATAATAATAATAATAATAATAATAATAATAATAATTTTATTATTTATACCCCGCCCAGGATTTATAGCCCGTAAGGACAGCATGGAGAACGTTTAGAATATCTAGCATTCAGACCTGCCCGACTGTCCCCAGACTTACGGGGCAGCCCATAAGACCCATGAACTCGATAGTATTTTATCATTTATCTCAACGATTGGTATGACGCTTGATTGCGGTTGTCTCTGTGTGCAGGAGACCTAACCTATCATAAAAAGACGAACGCGAGTTAAAACTATAAAATCATAATTCATCCTGCAGGAAAAACGACGACAATTTTCAGTGAGTTCAGGGGTGGAAGGACTTGTCTGGCCTCAACTGGGAGGGAGCTGCACAAAATTAGGCCCCGCAACGTTGAAGGCAGGAGGACTCTTTGTGGTTACAAATTGAGCATCATCCCAGCCACCGCCCCCCCCCCCCAACAGTGACTTCCATTAAGACTTCAGTAGTCCAGCAGGGATATAATGGATCTGGCGATCCCTGGTACCTCTGGACCGACCCAAGTTGGGAATTAATATAAAGACCTGACCCAGCAGCGAATATGACAAGTGGCTTATATATGCGATTGTCACTTTGCTGCTCGGAATTAATCAGTTCGTATGCTGTGGCAGCAAAGCATCATTTAAACCAAGGGACCTGAAGTCGATTTCAAGGCTTTGTAGGCAGACGGACCTGCCCAAGCCCGGCCCAACCATACCAGTGAAGGACCACGCCACCAACAATGTCCCAAACGCCCGCGAAACCAGCAGGATTTCCTTGTTGTCAAAATCTCCGTTTGGGACCGGGGCTTTTCTTTCTGTTCCTTCGGCCTCTGCCGGGATGGGTTGGAAGAGGGAGATCTTTGGGTGGCAGCTTTGGAGAGAGTAGGGGGCTGGAGGGGGGCGTCGTGGAGAAGGAGGAAAGCGCCATCAACATAGCACGACTCTATCTTTGACCAGTCACGACCCCTCCCCTGCTTTCAACTGTCTCGGCAGCAGCACCCACCCAATTCGGCCGCCTCCTTCCTCCTTTTAATTGGACTTTCTGATACTGTACAAGGACGTAGAATTCGCCTCTGCCAGATGTTAAGCAGCGGCAGCCCCTCGCCTCTTGCCTCCACAAAGCCCCTCTCATTATCAAGGCCGCCTCTCCTCCTCCTCCTACTTCGAGGGGGTTTGCATTTAGGGAGGGGCTAGCCCAGGATGCTGCCTCCTGCCACGGCTTAAGCAGAGGAAGAAGCATCTCGGATCAGGAGGGATCCGTCCCGGATATGGGACTGAGGAAGTGGAGCGCGAGGAGAGCTATTTAGATCTGGGCAGGGTAGGGGCTATATTTAACTAGAAAGCCAGGGGAAAATGAGTGTCTGTGCAAATGGGCCATAACATAATATTTCACATCAATGCTCACATCCTAAACGCATTCTCGGTCTGAAATAAGTACAATTGATTTGGATGGGGTTAGTTTCGAAGGAAATGTTAAGGTTCGCAGTCTGGTTTCGATTTCCGGTTCATGCGTCAATTATCATATGTATGTGAGAAGTGCCTTTCCTACCAGTAACCACAGGAGTCCAGCAGGAAGGGGGGGAAGGAAGCTTCACCCCCATCTCTCCATTCCCCTCGCCACTAACAGTCTTGTCTCAAAGAAGTCAGTCTCACCAATGAGAGAGAAGTCGTCTACCACTGGTATGTTTAGCCTAGTAAAGGAGACTGAGAGGAGATATGATAGCCGTCTTCAAATATCTAAAGGGCTGTCACACTGAGGATGGAAAAAGTTGTTTTCTCCTGCTCCGAAGGCTAGGGCCCGAACCAATGGCGTCTAGCTACAAGATTCCGACTAAACATCAGAAATAACTGTTCGACAGTGGAACAGACTCCCACGAGAGGTGGTGGACTCTCCTTCCTCGGAGGTTTTTAAGCAGAGATGGGATGGCTGTCTGTCATGTATGATCTAGTTGAGATTCCTGGATTTAAAGAGGCTGGACTAGTTGACCTTCAGTGTCCCTTCCAACTCTACAATTCTATGATTCTATGACAATTTAATTTCGCTTTATGTACCCCTAAATATTTGCCGAACCACATTTTGGGATGTGAAAAGTCTGAAGGAACGGGATAGCTTCTATCTCTTACCACCCCCTCCTTCTAATCGAGTATGCTTTTGCAGGCAAAAAAAAACCCTACCCACAATTATTTTATTATTATTATTATTATTATTATTATTATTATTATTATTATTATATTTGCAGCTTCAGGCCTGGTGAAGATTTCTGTGCGACTCAGAAGCTTGTTTTTGTACCCTGCCTTTTGTATTCGCTCTTGGGCGCAAAGGAAACGATCGTTTTCTTTCCTTCGACGCTTCCTTCCCATTGTATTGTTGTGGGGGAGAGGTGTGGGGCTCTTCCTCTTACATAGAAGGAAGCCGCGATCCCTGCGGTAGTTGTTCGCTCTGCTCCTGACACAAGCCCTGGATCTCCAGTAGCCTTGAGTCTGTCCAACAACGGAACTGCGGGAGAAGCGAGCGGCCAGCAAATTGCAGATAAGTGGCGGAAAAAGTCCGGCGCACGTCTTAGCAGGGTCTGGAGGAGTGAGCTGCGTTTGGGGTTTTGTTGTACGCACGCTGTACCCAGAAAGAAATGTATGAAACGCGAAAATGTGTGTGTTTGGGGGATGGGGAGAGAAGCATTCGAGAGACGTGGATTACACGCACACACCATACTGAATTCACCGTCAGCATATGCACTGCTACAAAATCGAGAGATGGCCAGGAGAAGCAAGTTTGTGGAGGAAGATGACGTCTGTTAAAGGTTATCTGCGGAGCTTCCATTTCGGAGGCAGTCTACCCCTGGTAACCGGATGCCTGAACAAAAGGCAAGAGAGCGGTACTCTCCTCTTGCCTTTTATTCTAACAATAAGTTACCAGTGCCAAATTTAATTATTTAAAATTTACATGCACGGGCTGCTTTTAAAAGACAAAATAAAAGAGTTACAAAAAGATGATTAAGACATAATAAGGATGGCATAGGACACCACTTAAAGCTTAAATTGAATTAAACGAGAGTTGTAAACTAGAGTATCATCCAGCTGCATTAACTATTTATTTATTATTGGACTTATTAGTCTTTTTTACAGACTGTAAACTCAAAACAACTTACAATGTAATCGCAAAACTAAAACCAATATAAAGTTTCAATACAACAACAACACCGATATACATTAAAAGCATTCTGACACAACTGACCTACTGAAAAGGGCCTCAATAGCTAAAAGTCTCCAGGCTAAAGGTCGGGGGGGCGGGGACACGTTCGTGATTGGCTCCCAAAAGCAGCCAGTAATCGCATCAGGCGCAATTCCCTGGAGAGAGAGCATTCTATAAACTGGGAGCCACCACTGAAAAGGTCCCTTCTTGTGTTGTCACCCTGCAGACCTAATTCAGAGGGGGCACATGGAGAAAGAGCTCCCGTGATGATCACAGGGCTGGGGTTGGTTCACCTGGCGAGAGGCGGTCCCTGAGGTAGTGGGGTCCCGAGTGGCACAAAGCGTTACAGGTCGAAACCAGCACTTCGAATTGAGCTCGGAAACTAATTGGCAGCCAGTGAGTCGTGTCAGAATTATCTTTATACGCTCAGATCATCTTGCGCCCGTCAGCAATGCAGCCGCGGAATTTCGCACCGGTGTGGTTTCTGAACTGTCTTCAAGACAGCCCTACGTATAATACATTGCAGTAATCTAGCCTAAATACGCATACTTCTGTCTGGCCACAGTTGCAGAGAGGCTGCTGAGCCGATGGGCTTGTAAAGGTCATTCTGTTCTGAAGCATAGCTTAGCAGCCTTGAGGGGCCGTCGGTGTCTTCTCCTACAAAGTTGTCACGCATTTCAAGCGAGATGTGGGTTTCACCATCAGGACATGGCGCAGCCTGCTTGTGTGTTTACCTGATCTGTCTGTCAATAAATCAAGGGCGGAAGCGCGAGTGGAAACGTCTACAGGGAGAAAGCCTCAGTACAGACTTCTACACGATCTGGATTTTTTTTGCGTGTAAGCCAATACACGCAGAGGGAAGGAGGAGGAGCTGCTTGGCAAGGCTCCGCCCCCCGATTTGGACCTAGGCGACCTTTCTACATTCCCACACAAACGTCTATCTATCTATCCATCTATCTATCCATCTCTCTATCATCTAAATGCAATGTATTCTTTTGCTCTCAGTTCCTAAGCGCGCAGATGCCATAATTGTGGTGTACATATTTTGATGGATGCAAATATATCACTTTTCTGCTCTACTGTAAAACACACAACGCTCCCTGTATTAGTAGGAAGATGATAGTCTATTTTATTTATTCTTTGTACCACGAGGAATTAGAGGACTGTATGCACCAGCATGCTGGGTGCAGGAAACCGAACGAAAAAAGAAAAAGAAAGGAAACATTTGAGCAGGCCAGCGCCTCGCTTGGCTTTTGGGGCTATATTATTCAGAAATACCGTTTTAAATGAAAATTGGTATGGGGGAGGGGGGGAGTTTTTAAATTGTATTTTAAGGAACCCGTTTTACAGGAAATATTCAGAATCGGAATTCCTAAAAGACGAAGAAGGGAGCAGAGTGCGACAAATTACAGTTCGAAATGTGTTGCATTTTCAGCCTTCTGCTGTTTTTATGCACACGTGCATTAGCTGAATACTGTAACACGGTAGATCTTGACAGCATCTGAATTGGGAGAACGAAATTCCCACCCTCTGAAATATTGCCCATCTGCAAATAGGTTCTGTTTTAAGTTAATAAATAATAATCATAAAATAATAATAATTGCACTGCTCCAAACGAGCTTTCTTAAAGAATCCACCTTGTCTGTTCCCAAATCTTTAGCTTTCTCGCGAAAAACATGGGACGACAACGCACAGAGGGCCGCCCAAGCCTTCTCTTCGCGGCCTGTTAGGCTGCCACGCACTTCGGTATCCGCTTAAGAGAGATTCTGCGCCTTCTCAGACAGGCCGTCTTTCCTGGACGCTTCCCATCCCTCTCCCATCAATACCTCGCACTTCTTATTAGTCTTTTAGTCTAATGCGCAAAAAAACGCATTTGATTTCCATCCCTGCAAATCCAAGTATCTCAGGGAGAAAGAGAGGCGACTAGAAGCGGGAAACGAGTCTGAATCCTGGGATCTGAGCGCCTGAATCCGCCGGCTAACTCGGTTTGCCGCCTGCGGACTGGCTTGGCTTCTTTTGTTTTACCGATCCGCAGCCACCACCGTAGACATTTCCCCCGCCTGAAAATACCGGGCCAAGCCTGAGCTTCTTAGTGCTGGTTATCTACAGTAACAGGGATAAAGTCCAGCTGCAGTCTTCTGTACACGCGTGCCGGGGAGCAGACGTGCAGAGAATGCGGGACCGGGTTCGCACGCAACCAGCCCGCCTCCCGCTTCCACTTTATTCCACATTTACTTCTGGACTCACAGCAGGCCGTTTGCTGGATGGGAACGGGCTCCAGCACAAAGAAAAATAGAGAGTTTTTAAAACAACAACAACAACTCCCAGATAGCAAAAGCAGCTGAAGAGCAACTGCCCTGACGGATAGCTGCCTCGTTTCGTTAGCTAACCTGAAAACATCCAGGGGTTTTGCAGTGGAAAGGCGAGGCAGCGAGCGGGCGAAGAAATAAATGAAAATACACATCCATATAATTTGATATTTCTTTCATCCTGCTTTCCTCCCTTCCTCAGTGTGTATATAGGCGTGTGTGTGTGTGCATATATATGTATATGTACACGTGCGCATGAGAGCGACCTCAGAGTCTGGGAATGGCGCGGGGATTTATATATATGTAAGTATTTCTATTACTTCTCTGGCCGCCTCCCATCCCTCTTCTCTGTCTGAGGCAAGGCTACCTAATCCAGGCCCATTGGCAGGCCGGCTGCGGAGCGAAGATACCCAAAAACACACACACACGCACGCACAAAATAACCCGTGAGAAAACAATATCGAGCGCGTCTCGATCGTCTCTCTCTTTTACTCACCATTTGCTTTTCATTGGTGAAAATGACTGGAGCCATTTTGTGGCCTATTCATGGCGGATGGATGCAATTTTTTCCCCCTCTCCCCCTTTTCCTTTCTCCCCGCCTCCCTCTACCGTAAAAAAAAAGAAAAAAAGAAAAAAGATAAAGAAAAAAAAAAGGAGAAAAGAGAAAGAGAGTGTTGGGTGGCTTCGCAGCGCCGGGATCTCATTCCCACATCACGTCCAGTTTCCTATTTAGTATGGAGAGCGGAACACCGGAGCAATGTGGCCAAGAGAGATAAGGCGCTGGCAGTGGCCCGCCTGCCCTGATAAGCCCCTAAACCCATTATTTATGAAATGATTCATTATTATTTGGCAATTTTATCGAAGGAAAGCGGAAAATTATTGCAGGGATATGCAGAGAGAGGGACTTTGGAATGCATGCCGGATTGCTTTTTTAGACGGGTGCGCGCGCGCAGGGGCGCGCGTTCAGATGCGCTTTAAAAAGAGACAGAGGGGGAAAAACGTGGGAGGGAAGAGGAGGAATAAAATATTTGCCAGGACTGCCCACATTTGAATAACGATCTTTTCTTTCAGCTTTCTTGGTGGTTACGATTCTCCCCCACAGGCTTCCTCTGCGTGCCCCCCTCACCCGCCCACCCGCCTCCACCACACACCCGGCATTAAATATGGAACACCTACTCGGCTCTTAATTTAATTTAATGAGCCAAAATAAAATGGATCGAGATATTGAAAAGGGGGAGAAGTGTGCGAGCGTGTAACTAAATGGCTGAGGGGAGCAGCATGTCTGGTACAACTGGGTAAACAAAGGGAAGGGATATAAAAAATCCTTCCCTAGCCAATAAATAAAGAAATAAATAAAATGTGTGGGCATAAACTAGCGATATTTGCTGGTTTAATTTGATATTCGACGGAGGGAAGTGGGGGCAATTAAGGAAATCAGAGGTGGGGGTGCTATTTAGGAATAAAAGCTCATTGAAGTGCGCAGTTATGGTTATTTTTAAATAACCCGTCAAATATGTAACCTTTTCATGGGAAGGAGATGGGCTAATATTCCGGAGGGGGGCATTAAGGCGCTCGGTTGGGGAAGGGACTCAGAACGATCACTGGAGATAGATGCAGAATTGAGTTGGCGGAGCTAAGATTCATAAAGTTCAGAGGCGCTGATGGATGGAAGAAAAACAAATAGAGCCTTTTTATTCCCGTCTATTCTCTCGGATCCTAAGCACGTATTAGCAGGATGTGCGTCCCATTCATTTTAACAGAGCATCGATGAGCAGTAAATGTCACATTTCCAAACCAAATTTCGTCTCCTTTCAATAGAGTCGTATGTGTGCAAGGCGCGTTCTCATTTGCATCGAACTAGGCGAAAAGCAGCTACAGTTAATCTGGAATACATGGAAGCCCTTTTGTGTCGGTGCATTTATCTCAAATCGGTGGGAAACCGTTTAAGTGTACTCCCGGTTAACTACTGCGGAGTAATTACCTCCCTTCGGGATCGATGCAGATATAGCATTCCCGTCCGAGGTGCCTTGAAATAAAAGGATGGAAAGTGGAAGTGACTCCGGGTGTCATTAATAGGCGTTGACATGATTTAGGGATGCGCTCAAGGTTTCTTTTTAAGGCTGCCGCAGCTCCTTTACAGAACAAGGGCTCTTTAAATCAGTCCAGGAATCGGGGTGAGCGGGTCGGGGACGACGCAGGAGCAGGAGTAGACTTACTTTGTGTTCTGCCACCTAGCCTTGGGGAGCTGGCTTCAGCCTGCTCTCCTCAGACTATTTTGGACTACACGATGCGACTCAGGAAGGCAAGGCTGATAGTTTTAGGAGACTGTTCTGCATGATGTATTTGAGATCATCATGCTGTTTACACTCAGACGAATCAGTTTGGAAGAGTTCCACCGTATGAAATACAACCTCTTGGCCTTTTATTTACGTCCACACGACACACCAACTACAGGCGCTATGCTGCGAATCTAGAGGCGCCCTTGTCCTGTGAATCCGATTCCGACTGAGTCCCCCATTAAAATTAAACCCGAAAGTGGCAGCAACCTTAAAAGAATGGTTGTCTGCCCCGTAATAAATATGCTTTCAGCCAGATTGGCTTGAAATCATCCATTGTCCTTCTTAATACAACATAAATTGTTACTTTGCAGCTTCTAGCGGGGTAGTCTCCTGCCGCAAAAAACAATGAAGATGATTGTGGCACCTTAAAGACGAGCGCATTGGTTGTGACATAAGGCTTGGTGGAGTCCAGTCCACTTCATCAGATCAGATGCACTCAGTCCACTAAAGCTTATGCTATAATGCGTGGTTTTTATGGCCTTCTCTGCGGTAGCCCCTTCGTTTTTGGAATGCTCCCCAGGGAAGCACGCCGCAACTTTGCTATCATGTTTTTATCAGGTATTATTGTAGATCTCAGACATTGAGAGATCTTTCGCAACATAAAATTACAAAAGGAAAAACATTGGATTGGATAGTTCAGTTGATAGAGCATGAAACTCTTAATGTCAGAGTCGTGGGTTCAAGCCTCACATCGGGCAAATGATTCCTGTATTGCAGGGGGTTGGACTAGATGACCCTCGTGGTCCCTCCCAACTCTACAGTTCTATGATGATATAATAATACAGTGGTACCTCTGGTTACGTACTTAATTCGTTCCAGAGGTCCGTTCTTAACCTGAAACTGTTCTTAACCTGAAGCACCACTTTAGCTAATGGGGCCTCCTGCTGCCGCCGGAGCACGATTTCTGTTCTCATCCTGAAGCAAAGTTCTTAACCCGAGGTACTATTTCTGGGTTAAGGGAGTCTGTAACCTGAAGCGTATGTAACCCGAGGTACCACTGTAATGAGAACAAAAACAAGCCAGCAATCTCTCCTCCCACTTCTATCGCGCTTCTTATCTTTCTGAAAGTGGCTGACCGAAAGGGGAGAGACTGGAAGACGGAGTAGCGATGAGCAAACGTTAAACGCGGGAGTCGGTCTGTCAGTCATCCGGACATCAAGGGGGGAACTAGGGCTTCGTGATCCAGGGAAATACAAAGAGCCCGATCAGCAGATTAGGCCCGCTTCCCTTAGACGCGAGGATTTCCCTAATGATGCTGCTTCAAGGGGACTCAGCCGCCGCCTGACGTCTCTAACCCAGGCTCTAAGATCGGAGGAAGGAGGCCGAGGAAGAGCTTCCCCCTCCCCAAGGGAGGCCGCTCACGACGCTGCTGGGAAGCCAGGAAGATCAGCCCCAGAGCAGTCACGACTTGTCCGCCAGGCCTGTCCTGCACGCTGCATCCGGGAAACACGAGCGCCACTTCCTCTCGCCGGAGAGGGGAGAAAACGAAGGCGGCAGAAGGACGCGATCGCGGGATGGGGATGAATTAAGAGTCACGTCTCGCCCTCCTTAACCCGGCACAAGATCCTAAGAGAGCTCCAGTTAGGCTGGAGGGGTGTCTGCGCCCCCGTATGACCTCGCCACAATGGGCAAAAGTAGTGCTCCGAGCATGTGCAGAGTGCAGCAGCCTTGACCCTGAAAAGTCACATTTGGGCACTCCCAGGACTTGGCTGCACCCGCTTGAGCTGCAATATATCTTGTTATACAGAAGAAACCAGCTGGCACATGGTGACTTGCAGATCACCAGAATTGTGAGCTGGTACAGTATGCAGTAATATTTCAGCTTTAAGATGCAGAGGCAGAGTGGGGGTCTGGTCAGCATATCTACAAGAAGCCATGATAGAATAATCAATGCAATGCTAAGCTTATTAATCAGTGGTTAAACACTTGGCATCTTAATAATAATAATACAATAATAATTTATTATTTATACCCCGCCCATCTTAACTGACCTCCATTCAAAACTTCCCTTTGGCAGGGTCTTCAAGCTTCCATTGCATTCTTCAAAACACTCGCTACACATTTCTTGGGACACAGGAAATGCAAGAAAAAGGCAATGAGGCATCTAAGAACAGCACAGATTGGGGTAGAGGAACAGGCAATCTCAGTGCCAGAACAGATGGTAAACAACAGCAGTCTCAATGGAAAAAGCATCTCTCACATCCCTCAACCATAGACAACCGTCTCATGCATCAATATTCCAGTCTCAGCCATAATAGGGCTGAATCTCAGGTGCATAAATGTTGTTGCCAGAGACTTTTCCACATCCATGCTCCCCATACCAAAGGGGCAACCTCACTTTTTTGCAGTATGGAACACAACTTGGAATAGCAGGGCCAGAGGTAGTAGTGAAAGGAATTAGAAAAAGAGAAGGAAGGTTCTTTTTACACAACACCTTAGATAAGGCATTTCTCCACTGTCACATAAAATAAATATTTTAAATATAGGGGAATACAGAGGAAGGAGATGAGAATTAAGTTGCCATAGGAGAAAAATGAATGTGAAAAGTGCATGAAGGAAAGGAACAGTAAAAGACGAAGATGTGGTGGTGGGGTAAAGCTTATGGAACAGATTTTGCAGAAAAGGGGGGGGGGGAGTTATACTTTTTCAGCCAGTCTGTATTTAGCTTGAGGAAAGCTGAAGTATGGAACTTCCTGCTAGAGGGAAATTGCAGTAGCAAAGAATTCAGCAATTTCCAAAGAGGGACTGGATATCAATAGTCGACAGCTAATTAGTGGTACCTTGGGTTACAAACACCTCAGATTACAAACACTTCGGGTTACAGACTCTGCTAACCTGGAAGTAGGACCTCGGGTTAAGAACTTTGCCCCAGGATGAGAACAGAAATCACGCACCGGCGGCGCAGCAGCAGGAGGCCCCATTAGCTAAAGTGGTACCTCAGGTTAAGAACGGTTTCAGGTTAAGAACGGACCTCCGGAATGAATTACGTTCGTAATCAGAGGTACCACTGTATGTCAAACTCCACCTAAATTTTGTGGCTTGTTCTGGCCCTGCATTGCCAATTTGTGCCTATTGGGGCTTCAGTAATTTTCAGTTTTCTCAAGTGGCCCAAGGAAAGTTTGAGAACCCTGTTTTAGGCAATTACCAAGAGTCATATGTAACTTCTGCTAAGCTAATACAATGGATTTCCTCACCACATTCAGCAGTCCCCACTCTGCATATACCAGCAAAAATATTATGAAGTGAGGGACATCACCGTGCATAATGATGGATATCATTCCAAATTTTTTATTGGAAAAAACAATGTAAAACAGGCTAAAGGACTTTAGGCCTTCATGGAAGATAATGAATTAAAACTATTATGGTAACACACACAGAAATAAAATAAACCAAATTTAATTTTAAAAAACCCTGAGTATAACAAGTCTGCATATTACAAGTGTCAAGTACATTTTATTTAGACATTCAAAAAATGTTAATAATTTCAAACACAAATAATAGATAAACAGTTCAGCAATTTATCCAGCATTTGTTCTTTATGTTCATGCCACAAGACAAAAAACAAGATAAGGGTGACATTGGTTGACCTTGTTTTTGTTTCACGATCATAGTAAACATTATGAAATTTTATTTCAAATTTGTGTAAGAATCGGGGCTGTCTAATGAAGTGCATTACTCCAATGCTTGAATGGACTCAAAAAAGGTTAATGCTTTAAACTGAGTAACCAAAATAATCTCATCCTAAACCCCCTTTCCACTTCAGCATTGATTAAGTTGCCAAAGTCCATTTTACAAAATTCATACATATGTTTAAAAAAGTATGTCCCATTACATATATATTTGCTGACCTTTAAGAGCATAAAGACACATCAATAAACATAAAGGTGTAAATATTTATATTTGAGATGACAGTCAAGCCATCACACCAGGCATACATTGAACCCTTTCCTCCCATTTAGTTTATTGCCAAAACCACTTGAAAAGAGTTGGTGGCTTCTTGATTAAATTGAACTACAGAAAACTGGTTCAACTTGTATTGAAAAGTCCTGCAAGGTGTTGGTTGCCAATAAATCAGACACGTTAAAATAACTTGGGTAACTGTCTGAGTTTTTGTACATCAAGGAAAGTACCCACTGAATTCATGTTGTCCACTTGCTTTAAATTATCAACGATAGGAGCTTGATGAGTTTCAGATACAATTTGATTATCTAGATTCTCTTTGTCCGGATGCTGAGTAAACTCTGCTTTTCCAGGTAGAAGTTTCATTTCGGGGTTCATGTCTTTAAAAAATGGATACGAACTCTCATCTGACTGGTGAAGGATTCGAAGTGGAATGACTGCATTTGTAACATTTCTTAATATGGGACCCTCTGGATTAGACAGATGAGTACTAGATAGTTCAGATTCATGATGTGCTGGATTAACAGAAAGTCTCTCATTTCCTCTTTCGTAGGGGTCTTTCTGGCAGCTAAAACCATCTAAAATAGGGTTTAAATTGAGTTGCAGAACAGGTTTTATGTTCTTTCCTCTACTGAAGTCAGTCTGTTCTTTCTCTTCATCATCACTGCCATCACTGCTTTGCAATAGTCCATACCTTTTCATGTACTTCTTGGTTGCAAATGACATATTGCTTGGGGAAATTAAGCCAAAGCCCACCAAAGTCTTATCAGTATTAGTGTGCAAGAGAGTCTGTACAGATGAAGCCATAGAATTTTTTTGGCTTGAGTGACTCAGAGAAAGCTGTGACAGTTGACTTTCACTTAGGTACTTGAGTGCAATAGCATTTGCTTCCATACTCAGATCTACTCCATTGGGAGTTAAGCCACTCATGCCAACATTAGCAAAAGAGATGTAGTTTAGACCTGGGACTACAGCTTCAGGATTAATACAGGCCAATATGCTAGAAGAAAACGAAGAAAAACAAGTTATTTTAACTTGATGCAAGTAAGTATACAGGGTGTACCTTATTCTACCTAATTGTAGCCATCAGGTCACAAAATGTCAATGTACTTTAAAGATAGGCTATCCTACTAGCTAAGGAGCTGAGGACAGTATTTAAAGCTTAGGTTGACAAGTCAGTCTTTGGAAGCCTAGTTCTGTCCTACAGATATAGTAGCTGCTAACTATGGCTTACCAACTCAGACAACATTGATAAATGCTTTTTGGGTCCTTTGGAAACAGACTGCATGCCAATTCAAACTGCCAATGCTTATATCCAATGCTAATCCTACACAGGGTAGAAGCATTCAAATTAATGAACCTAAGTCACTCATGTTATTAAGTTACTAACTTTAATGGGTCCACTCTGAGTAGGACTGGGATTGGTGAAGCAGACCCCTCCCACATAGGTCAACTTTGACAGGTGGAAGGGTTTCTCTCTCCTGCTTTAGATTATGTTCTTGCCTAAATGCTGAATTACATGATACATAAGTGTATCAATGCATATTTTAGGATACAATGCACTTAGAAATGCATATTTAGAAAGAGAAAAACCAAAATCTTCATGTAGATTAAAACGATTTTAGATTATTGTGGGATTGAGCCTGAATAGACCTCTGAACATACACATGTGAAACTGACAAGCACGAAAAGGACACCAACATGAATTGACTGATCTCTCCATCCCTACCCACAAAAGTCATTATTTTTGGCCCTATGGAGTATGGATATGGGAAGCCCTCCAGGTGATGTCGTCTACAACTCTCATCATCTCTGAACACTGACTGTACTGTTGAAGAATATCCGATTCCCATCCCCGCTTTAGAGGGATGAAGCCATTTATAAGCTCAGTCAGACTTTTTTGTTCTTTATTTAGAGCAATCTTTCTACCTGGCATTCTCTACTTTGTGTGCACTGTTCATCATCTTGTCAGGAGAGTCAAATTTTACTCCAAGGTTCCTCAGTTGTTTCAAGGTTGCATTCAGAACAATATCTTTATCACTTAGGAGTGGATCAGGATTGACTGAGCCTCTTCTTTCTGTTTTCTTCATTTTTGAAGCTGTGGTACATTCACTGCTGGTAATGTCCTTTTGTACTGAGGAACTGTTTTCTTCAGAAGATTCCTTCAAGAAGTGGTTCACTTGACCCTAAGGAAACGTAGAAAGGAAGGTACAGAGAACTGTAGAAAAAGCTAATCAAAGCTATATGATATTAGCAGTCTCATACTTAGCATGCTAGGGAATAGTTTTGTATGTCAAGGCCAATCAAATATTCACAGAAGATCAGAACTTTTTTTATAATGAAACTTCATTTTAGATACTCAGAGTGACATCTGACTAAGTCATACTCACGAGTCGGAAAGTACAACTTAGATATCACCCCCAGTCATTGCAATCTTAAATTATTGTTGTGCCACATACTATTTGAATTAAAAGATACACAAATTACATCTTGAAAAACTATTCTGGCATGCAAAATATCAGAAATGCCTACTATGGACTGTAAAATGAAACATGAAGGCTCAATAAACAGTTGGACAACACAAATCTGTTTTATAAAAACTGCATTTTTTAAAAAAATAAAGCCTGGTAGCTTCTCTGCTAATACCACTAAGGAGCATTGGGTTAAGGAATGATACATCGAAATAACTTACCAATATATCCTGGTAAAACTTCTGGTCATCTGGTGGGGCATTTGGGAGATAAGTGATAACATGCTCAATATTTTGTTCATTAACTGCTACCAAATGACTGTCAGCTCTCTCTGATGGGCTGGTCTGCATGCACATGCTAACACTTTCATTCATTGATGAAATTGGGGGAAGTCCTGAGTCAGCATCTGGTCCACTACTAGAAGCAGAGAATAGTGAATTAGTAGAGAAGATTCAAATGAGTTGAACAGAAGTGGGAAAGTGGGTCAATACTAGTGTGAAGGCTATAAAATGGGATGGTCATTATCAGCAATGCCATGGCAAAATGCAAAAGCTGTATTACGATGAGTATTCAACCATATTCTACACAGCAAGTTGGAATAACTTCAATAATGGAGAAAAAAAGTATGCCGCTTAAGTATACTCTTGTCATTCCCAAACCTCAAGCACTTCCTTGATGGAGTAAGTTTTGACCAAACAACCAAGTTAGCAACACCTGTACATTTACTGCACAGTAAAGAATTATGCAGAGTCCCTTAATTAAATAAGATTTAATGCATATTTGCAGATCACAACAAGAATTGCTATTTTAACAGCTAAGGCTAGAAACATGGATAATTAATGCCAAAATGCCTGCTAGATCATCAAATGACCGGAAGAGCAGCATAGGTATTAATGGTATTCAAATAATGCAGCTTAAAGTAATCAATTGTGTATGCTGAAAGAGAGAAGATTAAATCATGTACTGTCATTACAGGTTATCAGTTACTGCCAGAGAAGTGATTTTTCATCACTCAGAAAATTTTTGAAAGCTCAATATGTGAAAAATCACTTTTAGCAACTGGGATGCAAGCTTCATCAAGAGATTGCTTGCTTGATTACAGTAAGTTCTGTATGCCCATGACTTGTTTCTATAGTTTGAGATCCTAGTCATCAGTAAAGCTGCACATGAAGTTGCAGTGAGGCAGGCATGCTTTTTTTTTTTTTAATTCATCACCTCCACAAATAAGCAATCCATTTTTACCCATGAAAAGTGAAGTTAGGATTGATTAATGGGGCTGCTGCATTGTAGCTGCCACTTAACTCAGTCATTAGCATTTCAAGCAAGTTGTCTGCAGTATCTGGTCATATAGGAGGAAAACATCTGCTAAAGATGCACAACTTTGAGTGGCTGTAGATATATTGTAGAATCTTTGCTGATTAATTCATTGCTACAGTCAGTGTTCTACATGGTTTTAGCTGCTATACTGTTTATTTAAAACAGTGAACATAATACAAAGTCAATTAGACTCACTTTTTGGGGGGGGGAATGAAAATAGCCTTTTTGAAACCAACCCAAATTCTTAGAATTAACATTTTAGTTCTGACAGGTGACAAACACACATAAAATGGCTTGTTCTGAGGCTGAGCAGAGAAATACAGATGTACAACAAAACAATCATGAATGAGAGATTACTGAACTTAAGTGAATAATACAAACCACTTCAGCTCAGGCAAACAAGGCTGCCAACTGTGGTCAACTTCTTCTACAAATATGCATTATTGAAGGCAAAGGGAGGGAACTGAGGCAAACCAGTGTGGAACTGTATGCCTCCACCAGTGTACTCCTGAAAGATCAGATGGGTTTCACACAACATAGTATATGTAGGTTATTAAAGTATGGGGAATTTAAACGAGGGTTGTTTTTTTACCGGAGTCCAGAGGGTTGATTAGCTCCTTCTACAAGATGAATACTATCCACAAAACTGGGTATGTCAACAGCATTTAATGAAGAGGCAATGCTTGCTTGACTCCTGTTCTTCTCAGTGTTCATAGAAATATTGATGTCTTCATTGGATATTTCAACATCATCTTGTTTCACATGCTCATTTTTATTTTCCAAAGTAGCATTCCACATCAAGCTAGCACCTAAAGTAAAACAGGAAGAAAGCCTTGGTTGAATTTAGCTAGGCTAGTGGCACCACTCTCTGTCTCTGCATGTATTGTGTATTCTATCCCAGTCCCAGATGTCCATCAACTTCATGCGTTATAGCAAATCACTGGTACAGCTTGTTGCAATTACTAACAGTTCGTTAATGTGACACTCAGTGTTTAAGTAACTGAAAATGACAAATATTAGCAGTCCTCTCATGGGCAGTTTCACAACATGATGAGCTTGTGCATTTCATACAAATTTGGTAATCTTGATAATACCAGTTTTGGACTCTAGCAGCAGCCATCAAAACAAAAGTAGTTGAAGTCACAACACACTGAAGTGTGATTTCAGGATGTGACGATCACATTAGTAACTTCTCTTTAGCAAGACAAGATCCACTGCACTAAAAACCCCCCCACAACTTTAACATTTGAACACTGCTGTGAGCAAACCAACTCAATCACATTAATTATTCCACAAAATTTACAGTCTTTCAAGCAATTAATATTCAGTTCTCAGTCATACTATACTGTATTGGAATCTACCATGATACAACAGTCTGGGTACAGGACCCAAGTTTGTTAGCAGAGCGGATCAAATAGGAAGACAGCACAACACTACTGGATCAAATAGGAAGATAGCAGAGCAGACTCTGAACAGCTAAAATGGTGCTAAAATATTTTCCCACTGCTGAGTTATACCAGTGTAACTTCAATAAGGTGTACAATAAACCAATACCTGTGCTCACTGCAATGCTGACACTTTTCTTCATGTGTAACCCTGTGGATGATTGGGTTTCCATGGCAACAAATTCTAGTTGCTTCTCAGACTGTATGCTACTGTTTGCTATAGTTTTGGTTGAACAGGGCTGAAGAGTTTGTGCTTCTAAAAGCCGCTGAATCTGTAACCATGTAAGATCAGTGTTAATTATACTGCCAAGATAATGAAAGTGGGAGAAGTAATTAGTAAATATCACTGTCGTATCAATTTGTCTCTTATGAATACAGAACTATTCTTTCTTTAAGATGATTAAAGGCAGCATCTTTAAGTCCTCTTTATATAAAAATGCAACACTGCTAACTGTAGAACGGAGAAAAGCACATATTGCTATTAAAACAGTTGAGTTTCATTAATTAAAACCTAGTTGGTTTCTATTCTGCACTGAACTTAATTCCAAACAACTTAATGGCTCACTAAATTGACTAGTAAACCAGCCAGCTTAATTCTGAAAGCATAGCTAACGAGCTATGTGAAACTGTTAAAAGACATAGTATTAACCCACTACATATTTCTACTAGGCTCTGAAGAGGCCACCTATTAACAGACAAGTACACAAGGCCAAAGTTGTAATCTGATAATATCATAAGTACCATGAGTGTAAAGACCATGTTCCTGTGATGAACCTAGTAAATTCTAAGCACGTACACAATAGATTTAACCCAACAAACCTGAGCTTGTAGCAGTTTGATCTGCTTATCTTGTTCAGCAAGAATTTTGTAAACATCTGAAGGTAAGTTCATTATTCCATTATTGGGTCCCAACTTTGATGCACGAGTGTGCACACAAGCCGGATACACTGCATGTGATTGTGCACTGCCAGGGTCTGAAGAAGAAATCTTTACTGTAGCTGACATGTCATCATTATGCGGGCAAAACTTCCCCACTATTCCATGATGGCCAAGGTTCATAGGACTACTTGTGGTGCACACTGGGTTGCAGCAAGGATCTATATATTCTATATTTTGATGAAACATTAATTGTGTACTCTCCTGGGAATTACTTGACTGGATTTCAGGTGTGTGACCGGAACCCACTGTAGACATTCCTTGCCAAACATTTGTTGGACTGTATTGCATATGGTCACGTAACTGGCAGCTGCAGACACAGTGGGGACAGCAAGGTGAGCTCTGAGATGGTATCCGGAGTTCCATGGGTCTTCCCATGTGTGGAGATGACAAAGGACAACTGTGCCAGGAAGGCTGGGAAGCTAAATGAGATTGTTTAGAGTTAGATGCTGAGGGTCCATTAAAAGGAAGCTCTCCTTTGCTTTGTGTAGGCTCATTATTTGCCAAGTGTTGTTCTGGTGTTCCAAGCTGATGGGAAGAGGTGTTGGGAGAGAACCCGCTACAAGGAGTTGAAGGAGAAGAAGAGGAAGAAGACCCAGAGCTCTTTCTCGCTTGAGATCCAACTACACCACAGTTGGACTGCTGTTGTAGTGGAGGTTTCTTTCCATTGGAAGGTTTTAAAACTGAAATTCTCTGCTTTATCTGGCTTGGTAACTGCCTTGGAGAAGGCTCTCTGGCACAGAAACCCAAGCTTTGTTTCCCAGAATCACAGCTCTGAAGTTGGTGGGATGGATGCCCTATGGAACATGCCATCTTAGCAGGTTGATGTCCCAATGAAGGTTGGGGTTTTTTATCCATCACCATGACATTTTTGGATGTTGACATAGATTCTGTGGAGATGCCATCAAACACAATAGACAGTTCAGGAACCGAAGGCTGGATCTCTGTCATCTGGAAACGAGGACAATATAAACTTAAGAAATGCATAGATCAACACGTATTTTATGTTACCAATTTAATTGGAATGTTCCTCCCCCACCTGAGAAACTGTTGTAGCAGCTTCCACTACACTATGGAGAAAGAGAAGGCAGACATCACTATGTAAGTCATACCCCATTGTAGAGGAAACATACTTCTACCAGGAGACCTTTAATAAGATATTATCCCAAGTCCTTGCCAAAATAGGAGTCCTTGTGCCATATTAATGGAACCTCAAATATTGATACTATACATGTACTGTAGACAGATGCACAGGTACAAGTGTTTCAAATGGAAAGAAAAAGCTATTGCATAAAAACACTGTTTCTATTTTGACAAAGTGCATATAAGTCTCTCTATTAAAAAACTACTAGCACAGTTATTGTCTACATCAAGAGACAGTCATTGGTTCCATCTTTAACTTAGGAAGCAGAAAAATTGAAGGCAATCAACATTTGCATTCTTAAGAAGCCTATCTGTCCAGCTCAACCATTATTTCTTCTCCCTCCTTCAATGTGCTTTTAGAGGACCTCCCTAGTAAATTAAGTCAAACAATGGGGCTATGGGTCAGCTGATTTATTTGGTCTACATGCTTCCCACAGTAGAATATGAAGTCTCCTTAAGAGGTTTCTTTATAAAGTTAATCTGAAACATGTACTTGCAGCAATAAAGGGTTAATAGCACCACAGCACAACCTGGTGGTAAGAGCATGGAATACAACTATCCCGGCAGCACTGATGCAGAAGCTGAGTGCTTAAGAATTCCTACCAACTACCCAAAGATACTGATATTTTCTCTAAAAACTTGAAGATACTAAATCTTGGAGATACCTGCTGACTCACTGGGTGAGGATGGGGAAATGGTCTTGGGGATGCATCCTCTTCCACACCAGAGTCATGATCACTAACAGAAAGTTTACTAGCTGAGGAACCTTGTGATGGGCTAAAAAAATAAATAAAATAAAATCAAGTTTTGAGTTTTGTATTACATAGAAAATGTTTTGATTGCATAATAGAAAACAAAAATGTCTGATTAAATGCATAAGTATTTGAAAAAGGTCTCACCTGCTAAAGGAAACATTCTTTGAAATTTTACTGAAGAACTCCACTTCTGCGTTTTTATTTTCTGAACTTAGTTCAAATTGAATATGGTATTTATCTGATGGCTCCACGTTCTGAAATGAAGTAGATGTAGTCAGTAAGCTCCATTTAACAATTACCACACAACTTATCCCAACCAAAGTCATGTAAGAACTCTTCAAACAAACCCTAGCAGTGGTGCTACCTTCTTGCTTCCTATGAGTTTTTATATTCAGGGCACCCTGGACTGGAGTAAAGATTAATGTTAAACAGGAAGGTACTTGGTAGAGGATAAGAGCTAGAGCACTGGTTTCTAACTGGTGGTCTGCGGACATCTGTGGCACATACCCATCAACTATCTAGGACATCCCATTTGGAGACTGTGCGTTTACATGGGTCATGTGACTCACATGGAAACACAGCCCAGAAGACACATGTTTGGTCTTCTGGGACATGTTGGTGCTGGGACAACATTTTCAAAAGTAGGGGGTCCATGCCTTGGCTTCTGAAAAACAGGGGGTACACAGTACTTAGCTGACTGAAAACCACTGAGGTAGAGGATCACTGGATACAGCAAATCCTCAGATATAGCACCAGATCTAGTGTACACAAGTATTTTGGCACACAGAGAAATGAGTAATAATTCCCAAAGGGAATCTGCCTGCTAGAACAAGCTTACCACATTCACAGTCTTGAACAAAAAGCATGGGCAGAGATACTGGAGTACTTATTTGCTTCCTAGTCCTATGAAGCTGTTCTCACTATAAACTCCTGATTGTTGCTTTAAAGCCATGACAGTACCTGGCCTTCACCTGACATCACATATGACTTCAGGGATAGGGAATGGTTAGTCAGGAATGGTTTGCTGGGCCAGCTTTGCCCCTGTAATAAACAACCGTTGACAAGCACCCCATTGTAGCTGCACAGCCAACTTAAGTATGGAAATCAAGCAACTTACTTTAAAGCAACGTAATGTTTCTTTGCTTGTAAGTAGCTGGAAACCTAGTTTAGTATGTCCACCACAAGGAAGGCATTCATAGAACTCTGGATCTTTATGCGTCAGAGAATAAAGAATTACAAGGAAACTTCCTGATTCTGAAAGTACCCTGAAGAAAATAAAATAAAATACACTCATTAAACAGAAACAATAAATAAAAAAATCATTTGGCAATGTGATGTACTGAATTCAAATGAAATAAATAATTTTTTTAATTGAATTCAAATGGTAAAGCTTAATATAACAAATGCCATCAGATCACCTACAAGAACAGGAAGCAAAGGGGTAGTTCATATTTCAAATATAATTCAGCAATTGTGCTTTGTTGTTAAACTAAGTCCAGTTCATATATCTTCAGCAAGTTGCCCAGCTCACTATCTGAAAATCATATTGCTCACTTAGTTCTGGGGAGCATGTAATTCTGTTATAGAAGCTATAAGGGCTAGCAGGTACAACAGTTTCCAATTCACAACCCAGGCTCAATTAATAGTGCTGCTGATCATCTTTGAATGGTTTGAGTCAGGTTATCTTAAATATTATCTCTTCCTACATTAACCTACTTAGATCTGTCTGGGACAATCAAGCAATCTCCTGCTCCCTGATTTGTTTAATCTCTCTCTCACACACCCATTCTCTGTGGTTTCTGCCCAAAATGGCTGCCACCAACCAGCAAAGAACAAAAAAACCCAAGGATGTAAGGAAGTAAGTTGTTTGGATAAGTGAATCTGTGGGGGATATAGTGAGGTTTGGTCATAACTCTGTAAGTGTGGATAAATGATTTTTTGATAGTGAGCTTGCAGGTGGCGGGACCTTTGTGTACTTATCATTTATTGAGAAAAGTTCATTTTAATTATTATCACCTTTCTTGAATTGAAGAGTTGAATAAGTAGTGCAGGCTGCAAGTCCAGACTTGTGGGCTGTTGATATGAGAGATTCCACTCAACCAGCTAAAGGAAGAAAAAAAATAGGTTTGATGCTATAAGCCAGTGCATTCTTATGTAGCATATATATTTTACTCAACTGAGTTATCCAGTTTAAGATTAATATTTCTGCAGTACATATTAAAACATTCTGCTTTTCTGGTCAATGCCAAGCTCAAAGAAAGAAAAACAGAGGAAACGTTCATACTTCATCTAAATACTTACATGCCAATCAGTGGCAAAGTATAAGCTTTGGGATCAGATTCAAGAACTAGCAGTAGTTTTCTGGTCTGGTCCATTGTAAGATAGCTGTAAATAAGAAAAAAAAATCCAAACTGTTTGAAAACCTATCTCAATCACTTGAGTCAACAAAAAGCTAGCCTTAAAAAACCCTCAATAAAATCCTTCTGAGGATTTTTCATTGGTCACAATCAGGCATGTTACTGGTGCAGGGAACTTGTGATGCTTTTAAAATATTGGTTGTATCCAATGGTGCTCTTGTGCTAGAAAAAGTGCTTCTGCAAAGGAGGGCGCCTGATTTTCACTGACCCATCCTACACAATAAAGTCCCCTGTGCCTCCTCCCACCAATCTTCTGTGGGTTTAGAGGACCCTCAGCATAGAGTTGCAATTGATAGAAAGGGGATTGGTGAAAATAGGGTGTCTTGCGGAAGTGCTTCCACTAGCTTAAAACCATTTTATATCCACAGGTAATACTAGAACTTAACACACAGCACATCTCTTATAATGATACACAAAACTATAGGTGGTATGTTCTCACATGTGTGTTAAGGAAAACCTGATTTCTAATACCAGAGTGGGCACACAAATTCAACCTTTGACTTATATATCGATTGAAAGAAATGACTGAACTTGCTTGTATAGCACCAGTTTTAATTTCAAAATCCAATAGAAACTAAGAATCCTCTGTGTAGGCCAATTCTTACACTAGAGCTGTTGAGAAATCTTCCGTGTGGTGGAGACACAATGTGTAAAAGCTGCATTTCATATGACTAATTAGTGTATTTTTCCCATTGTGTGGAGTTTCAATACCAGTTGATATACTATACTGACCAGCAAACTGTTCACAGGATAACAGGCAATTTACGTGGTAGACAATATTAGTGTGTTACAGACACTGTCTTAAGCTGCATTTTCAGCAGCTTCCACATGACAATAAATAAATCCATTCATGCTAGGCCAGTAATTTAAAGTGAGATGTAGAAGGTTGCATCAGTTAATAATACAAAAGAGAGACCGTGTAATACAGCACAGTTTAGCTGTGACTGATGAAAATAGTTTTTAAATAGTGTCAGATCTTTATATTCAAAACAAAGAAACTCCCCTAGCCCTAGTCAATTATATAAAAAACCTGGAAATCATATTGGATGATTTAAAGGGACTGGAAGCTACTTTCCAAGTCTCCTTAGAAATTATGCATTGATATATTTTACTCCAAGACCAAATGAAACAATACAGACAACTGAAATTTACCAAAGTGAATAGCAATGAAGCTTAACATACCCACATTTGCAGGTACCCTGAACTTGTGTAATGCTCATGTGGCTGCTCAGATTTCTAGCAAGAGCTGTAGGAATTATTGGAACAGAATTCACAGGAGTGTATTTTAAGGCATTGGCAAATGTAACAGCTGCCCAGTGAAAGTCAAAGTTTAGGTTGTCCATATCTTCTGTGGAATAAATGTGAACTCTTAAAGTCAGCAATTTCGAAGGTTCCAAAGAATCTTGACTGTTCAAATTCTGTTGCAGTATCTATAGGGGAAAATTATGTCCGGATTAGTCTCAGACACAAGCATGTTAGCAGGGTTTGTTCAAAGTTTAAGAACAGTAATGGCATTCTTTTTAGGCTAGGCATCTAAACTTCTGAAAAGAAACTTAGCTGGTCAGAGCTGTGATATATGGAGATTATTTTATTTCCCCTCTCCTATAAGAGTGCTCCAGAGAAAAAGATGTGAGAGAGTGAAAACAGAAATAAACAGAAGGGAATGTTAAAGAAAAACAGTTGCCCTTTCCAAACTTATACTGAATAAAAAAGCTACACCCAGATACAGCTTTTCATGTCTAAGCATCTACCACTGTCCGGGACAAACTGAGAATAGCCAATGGATATTAACATAGACAGTCAGCAGCTATTCAATAAACAACCTTTGTGTTAAAATAAGGGTCTCAAGTTTCTTACCTTAAAAGCCAAGCTGAAATCTTCAGAATTGTGCACTATGACATCACCTGATGAAAATCCCCAAGCACTAACAGTACATGGAATCAAAAAATCTCCAGGAAGCGATGCTGTTGGTATTTTCCCCAAGCCACCAGTTACTTCACGACCCGGATCAAAACGATCTATTGTTAGTGATACACCTTCACCATCTGTGCCAGAGAAGTTAGGCAAGTTAGAATACATTCTATGAAGATGGCTCACTGATCCCAAATTTCACCAAGGCTTAAAACAAGACCGTTTGTTTGACTTATCCAGCACTATGATGCTCACTCACATTTCAACGTTCACACAAACCCTGCCCAAAGTAATTAGACAGCTGTAATTTTGATGAAGTCTTATTTAAGTGATAGTCATCTTTGCATACAGCAGGTTGCTGGTTCAACATTTCCAGTTAAAAGGACATAAGGTAGCAGAACAGAAGATATTTTCCTGAGGTTACAAAGTCACTGCCAGTTACAATAGACTAGTAGACCATTGAGGTAACACTGTAAACAGGTTTGCATGTACTTAAAGTAACACAAACATCAAAATGCACAGTTCAGTGAAATAGTCATCAACATGCCATCACTGTACAGTGCAACCTCAGTTGTAGAACATAATCTCTAGTTGAAAGGATCTCAAGCAGCAGGGTTGGGAAAGTCACCTCAGACCTTGAAGAGCCATTGCCCGTCAGAAGAGACAATATTTAGATAGAACATGTGTAACCAAGAGGGTCCCCCACCCCCAATATTGTTGGATTACCAACATTGTGATTGGCAAGGGACATTGGAAGTTGTAGTCCAGCAACATCTGGAGAAAGCAATGCTGATTCCACTGGCCTAGAAGGATCAATAGCCCAACAATGTAAGGCAGGCTCATATTTACACCCCTTGGTATCATTCACAAAATAATCATGTTATAAAGACACACTGCTGTAAGGCTTATTTGTTGAGTCAAATAGAATGGCAATGGCCTCTAACAAGATACCTACCTTCATCTACTGCAAGATTTCCAATCAGAAAACATGTGAAGGGTTTTCTTCTACTCTGCCTAGCATGACGATGGGTCAGTCGCAGTGTTTTCTCATGCATTATCAGTTTAGGATTTCTGAAGAAACACAAATTAAAGTTTCAGTACTTGAGTTTACTATTTCTAAGTACACGAAGACTGATAGTTATCTCAAAGAATAATTCACTACTGCCACAAAATACAAATGATCCATGTTACAAAAAAAAAAAAGGAAAGCAAGAATTGATGTGGGAAAAATTGGAGAAGCACCTTGAAAAAGTTGCTTAGGTTTGAAATTGTTCATTTATGTGTTATTAGTCCAAAAGCAACCATGATGCATTGTAATTATTTTTAGTAATTTTCCCAAGCTCAAATTTTGGATTTATTTTACTACATAGAAAATAGTTGAGTCAATCAGTTCTGAGTTGTTTATTGATTTAAAAAAACCATTACACTTCACTGAAATTATCTTGCTCCATGTATGGCAGAAAAATCAACTATGTCACTCTTGTGCCACATTACAGAAAGCGCAAACTACAGTATTAGCTGTGGCTTCTTAGGGACACCTTTTTCTCCGCCCTAAATACAATTTGTACTTGCCCAATGTCTTTTCTTGGGGTGCTGTATGATTTGTTGTTCCAATGGGTAAAATTGAAGGAAAGCAGTTACTGGCAAAACTTTAATAAAAGCTTCCTTACAGTACAAAATTGTTCAAACATGGAACAGACCGCATATGGAGGTACTGCGCTTCCCTTTACTGGAAGTATATAAGCAGCAGGTAGTCATCCATCTGTCAATAATACTGCTGCTGCATCCTGCATTAAACAGGACTTGGACTAGATGACCTCCATGGTATTATAACAATTGGATTCAGAGTTGGAGGAAGAGTTATTGATAGATGAGTAAACAGTTCAGGGCAAGAAAAACTCTTAATCTATATGAGACGCCATACCTATAACACAGGTGAGAGACAATGCTTTCTCCAACAGGAGCTGGATTCCAAAGTGCACATTTTGATGCAGGAAAGCTGAAAGGCACCATTTTCCCCAAAACACCTCTGAAAAGACATACAAATTTACTACTTTTTATTTGGGTACAGTTGGAGATAAGCAGAAGACAAGTTTACCAAATTCTCCCAAAATAAAAATAATAATAATTTATTATTTATACCCCACCCATCTGGCTGGACTTCCCCAGCCACTCTGGGCAGCTTCCAACAAAATATTAAAACACAGTAATCCATCAAACATTAAAAGTTTCCCTAAACATGGTAGGAGTGTGCTCCTTTAAGATGGAAAATGTAGGTTTTTCATATTCTCTTTAAATATATGTATTGCAAAGCAGTGGGTGGTATTCACCTAACTTTTATGCAGAGTAGACCTCCTGAAATGGCTCTAAATTAGTTATGTGCATTAATTTCAATTGGTTTACTCTGACTTAATTGAATACCACCCATTAACTACTTTTATGGTATTTTGCAAAAGAAGCCATTTCAAACAGAACACTTTCAGCTTAATTCAACCCAGTTGTAAGCAGTGCTGAATATTTCATACACAAACTCAACTTAAAACTCCAGGGCATACTAGGACTGAGCTGAATAGTCTTTTTAAAGAATCATTCAAGGGCTGAGGAAATCAATTAGGTCCTCAAAAACAGTGCAATGGGAAAAAGCTTTGGACAATTCTGCTCCTTTTTTGTGGGGTGGAGGGTTGTGTTTGCCTTATTTTACATTACAAGTTACCTGAGGGGAGCTTTATTTTTCTTTAAACACTATGTTTAAGCAGCGCAGCCCTCTCATGCTGTCTTCCACACTAGCAACAATTCCTGAGTTGCCCACATGGTCATGTCAGGAAATGCTGCCAGGCTGGGAGCTAACTTGCAGAGAGCTCTGGACTGCTACGAGTGCATGCAAGGCTTTAAACACCTGTGGCACAGTCAATGAATATCAATATGATTATCTCAAGGAAAACAGCCCACACCTCTGGTTTTCCCAAGCAACAGCGGCAAACTGGTGTAGTAGAGGGGAAAGGAGGAGGGAGTACACCAGCAAGTAATATCAACTACAGTGGTACCTCTGGATGCGAACGGGATCTGTTCCGGAGCCCCGTTCGCATCCTGAGCAGAACGCAACCCACGTCTGCGCATGTTACGATTCACCGCTTCTGTGCATGACATCATTTTGAGCGTCTGCACATGCATGAGCGGCGAAACCCAGAAGTAACCCATTCTGTTACTTCCGGGTCACTGGAACACAACCTGAAAACGCTCAACCTGAAGCTACTTTAACGCGAGGTATGACTGTATCAGGATACATATTACTGTATCTATTACTAATCTGTTACTATTACTGTAACAGATACATATTACTGTTACACACATAAACAAAGCCAAGCTACTGGAACATATCATGTTGTCCTGGGTTCCTTAGATGGTAGGGCAGAACCTAACTTTAAAAAATAAAAATAAAATAAATATCAGTGACACATTTAGGACTGAACTGTTATAATTAACAAGCAGTGATACAATTTCTAGCTATCCATACTTTTCAACGTCTTCAGGGTACTCTGTTCTATTTGCCTTTATAGTGACTGAGTCAGAATCAGGGCCTCTGGAAATAAACATAAAAACACCTGAACAAATAGGAAATGCTGCTGACGTGTGACTTGGATCCCTCATGTGACAGGCTGTAAATCATATTCATATTGAAAGAGATCAAAATTTCTGCAATAATACCTTTGGTTTTGAGACACAGGTGAAATTAGTTCCATGAGGCTTTAAGCATCCGTTTGATCACTTCACCCTCTGAGAAAATGCAAGAACAGGAATAAGATAAAAGATACAGTTAAGTACCGCGAAGTAATCATGTCTGATACCAGTATTTTAGCATATTCCATTTCTGATATATCAAGGGAAGTTATTTATTGTCTAACTTGCAACATCTAATCTGCAACCTACCAGCAACATTTTTTTTTCTAGTCAAATACAGTAGTTGTATCTTGGCTCTCAAGTTTTACTTTTACATTATTCCAGTGCTAGGTCTGGTATGCCCATGTACATAATACCCACGTACATAAAAACATAAGAGCCTGCTGAATCAGGCCAATGGGCCATCTAGTTCAACATCCTGTTCTCACAGTGGATGAACAGTACACCTCTATCATGGTTATCACAATTTTGTGGAAGGGCTATTATTGACCATGGAACTTTTAAATAACAAGTAGTCAATGTGGTGCCCTCCAGGTGTTCTTGAATTACAAGTCCCATCATTCCTGATGACTAGTACTAGTCATTCTGGCTGGGGCTGATGGAAGTTGTAGTCCAACAGCATCTTGAGGGCACATTGGCTAACGCCATTTTAAAGGCACAAATTCAATAACCGTCTTATTCCCCAGCATAAGTTATTGCTACTGTGTTCTACTGTTTCTTCCAACTGCTCAAAATCACAGTTAAGGTGCCTAACAGTCATAATTTAAAATTTATGAAACAAAAACTTTTGTTTAAAGCAAACAAGAGTTTGCTTTCAGAATAGAAAGATATCTGTATTTGAAAATCAGCAGTGAATGATTCTACACTCCCCAAGAGTTCATAGTCAAAACTCCATCCATCTGACCTGCTCATTTCTGCCTGCCCAAGATTTCTACTTTTTAAGATCACCATCACTTTTTATTGTGCTTCAGTGGTCTTTGGGGGCTTTGTCTATTTTGCCCAGTGAAAGAAGTGCTGCACTCAAGAAGGCAAACAGCAATGATAGTTCAAACCACTGCTCTCAGATTTCCCTCCCACCAGGTCACCAGAACCATCCCCCACAGGTCAAATACTAGTTGGCAATCATCAGCTAAATGTGGTGAATTACCGGTATTGAAATCCTGTTAAATTCATAGGTAGCCAGCAACCAAAAGATGGGCTAAAGTGGCATTTTTTTGAGCCAATTCATAATCAAAAGTGATCAGTATTAGAGGAATATTAATTTATGAGCATTTTATATAACTGGGTGGTAGGCAACATCACCCTAATTTCAAATATTAACTGCCTCAATTTTTATGACTGCCCCCCTCCCAAACCCATTTAATTCAAGGTTTGGGTAGGTTGCCTACCCATGTGCTAGTCCTTCTGGTGTTGTGCACTGCTACAACTGCCAGTATTCTCGGCATATACTTTTATTCTTATTTTTGTATACTATTGTGCTATTTCATAACGGTGAGCCTTTTATACCTAATAATAATAATGATGATGATGATGATGATGATGTTGGGGGGAAAACCTTAATAGTAGATAAAACAGCTGCGGCTCTGGATTTTTCCCAAGGCGATACACTGAAAAACACGGATCTGAGCCATGTTTCCCCCAACCCAACCTCCGCGTCCCAGCCCCTACTGCACCTCACGGCCAGGCAGAGGGCAGGTGGGGAGACGAGGGGACTTCACCTATTGAACGTCCACGAGGCCCACAAGCTGTGACAGAAAGAGACAGAAACGCTGATTTGGTCGCGGACACAGCTCTGTGTTTTTAAAGATGGGGGGCGGACAACTTATTTGAAAAGGGAAACACCTGGTCTAATAGACAGGCGCGGGTGGGGGAGCTAGTTATGAGGGAAGCGCACAGGGAACCGAAGGGGCGGAAAGGAAACAGCGGGCGACGCGGGCAGAGAAAAGCCACCCAGCTCAGGCGCAGCGGTTCCCCACCTACCTCACGACTCCTCGCCAGAGCCCCCTTTTCCACGCGCCGCCAACGCACTCTCGGCGCTCGAGAGCCTGGCGCGGCGGCCAAGATGTAACCGAATTCCTACCTCCTCCCTGTTGTGGCGGCTCCGATGGCGGCACGGGCGGCCAATCAGCGATCCCTCTCCCGCGAGGTCCACCCAGCCAATCGTGGCTCTCGACCCCTTCTATTAATCGCTGACATCGCGTCAATCAAAACCGTCGCACCCGCCCAGCAGGTCTCCGTAACCAATCCAAAAGCCCTAAATGAGACTAAGGCCCGTTGCGCGCGCGCGGACCTCTTGGGGGAGGGATATTTAAAAAAACATGGCTTTGTTTTAAACGGTCGCAGCAAGGGAGCTATTGCGCAAGCGCAGAGTCTGAAAGTGGAAAGAGGAAGGGGCGTGATTCCTTTTGTTACCTTAGTGATAACAGATACCTAGGCTTCGAGCGATGCTTCAGAAAGTGCTTGGGTAAACATAGTTGTGGGACGGTCTATTCAAGTCATGCTTACATATAATCTTGTATACGTTTTCTTGAAAGTAAATGCCGCTATATTTCAGGGGATTCGCCCCAGTAAGTACCTCCGAGGGTCGTTGGTAGGACTACTCGGCATGTCTTATTCAGAGCGAAGTCCATTTTCAGTGGGTAAGCGGATACAGGATGGAAGCCTAAATACATCGCAGCAAAAACGTTATTTTGGCGCCTTAAAGACGAACAAGTTTAAGTGGCATCATCTGCAGACTGGTCTACTTTCAGCTGATATATGTCATCCCCGGTTGCAAGATGCTTCCTCTACTACACTCTCACCTGCCAACTAGAATGCATCTGAGGAAGTGGACTCTTGTCCACAAAAGCGGGAGGGGGCCACAATGCTTCGGCTTTGTGGTGCTTTGTCTTGCCCTCTTCCCAAACAATGCCAGCATAGTAGCATTTCTGCTGCCAAAAGTTTGCAAGCAATCGCAGAAAGGACAGAGACCTACAAGAAGCTCCTTTCGGGCGCGTATCGCATGCATAAATCCATATATACTTCCAAACGAGAATAGGTATTTATAGATATCTATCTGTGTGTGTGTGTGTGTGTGTGTGTGTACACACATACGCGTTTGTTTCTTTTTTAGTTGCTCCTGAAAGTGTCCCCTCCTCATCCAAGGAGGATCCCTCCTAGACAAGGCGACCCGCCCCCCGTCTAAAACAGCCTCTCCTCCGGAGCCCTTCACGGGACGCCGCGCGGGCACAAGCGCCCCGCCCCTCCCTGCCCGCCATGTCGCCCCTCCCCCAGCAGCAGCAGCAGCAGCAGCAGCAGCGAGAGTGACCGGGCGGGAACCCGGAAGCGCTTTCCCTTCCCGGTGACACCTCAGCAGCCACCTCAGCCGGAGGAGTGAGGTGGCGTCGGGACAGTTAGCGAGCCCACCATCCTGCCGGCGCGGCGCTTCCCCCCCGGCGTATGTTCTGTCGCTGCCTCTTGGCTTCCGCGGCTCGTGTCGGTCCCTCGGCTCCTCGGCTGGGCGCGGCGGCGGCGTCCTTGGCTTCTTCCGCCCCTTCCCCTCGCTTGCTGCTCCTCATGAAGCCGGTGGTTGTGTTCGTTCTCGGCGGGCCTGGCGCCGGAAAGGGGACCCAGTGCGCCCGCGTTGTGGAGGTAAGGGACGGAAAGGGCACCTCGTCTCTTCTCCCTCTTTCTTCCCTCCGCGATAGAACTACCATGCCTAGCAAGCAGCGCGCCCGTAGAAGCGCCCTAGTCCCTGTCAACCGGCGCCCAGAGGATGATGGGGGTTGTAGTTGTGACCGACTTGGCTTGTGGCCCTCGAGATTCTCAAAAGGTTTGGACCCGACTCGATACCGGTGGGATCAAATATGCTACGAGTCTGGTGTTGAGGCTCGGAGCTAGAAATAGCAGTTGCACGGTAAGCAGGGCAACGGATCTTATACGATACAGGTGATAACACGTGATAATAAAAGAATCTTTTCTTTTCAACAGAAAAAATAAATAAATAAGCAAAAGCTGTAGACGTCTCAGGGATGCTTCAGGGGAAGGTATTCCACAGTCAGGCACAGAAAAGGACAGATCCTCGGTAACTAAGCAGGTGCTTATGGAAGGAGGTGGTGGTTATATTGCGGGCTAGAAAAAGCTTGGGTTCAATGCGCATCTAAACCTCTGGTATGATTGTTTCTGTTAGTAACCTATGAAGATCCTATGTATGGAGGGTAAAGAGGGGGGAAAGCAATTTTGTGCACCTTTGCATTCATTCTTTAATTGGGGAATGGTTCAAGCTATTCAACTCTCATGGCTTCCAACTAATTGAAAGAATCTTCATAATCAATAAGCTGCTGGTCTTAAGATTCGTTGGGAGATGCTGTTGGGTTTAAACCGACTTGAGTTTGTAGTATAAGTATGCCCCTAAGTTCTAGAAACTCGCATCAAGGTGTAAAACCATGTCCACCTTCAAGGCTACAATTACACGTTGAGGGGGTATGAGGCAAGTACACACAGCACTTCTGCCTTAGAAAGCTTGTTGGGAAGAACCAAGGAGTGGTCTACTTAAGCCTCTCTCTCTTGAGGCAGGCAGGGTTTCCTCTGCAGGCTTGGAGACCGCAAACATAACTTGTTAAAAATAAGGGTTGGTATGAGTCTCAAATTTTGTGGCACTATAAAACCTTAAAAGTCCAATTTATGCTGAAATCAAAAGTTGGCAACACAATTAGGTCATAAATGGTATAAATGCATGTTGAGTTATGTGTTCTAATACCTTATTCCACTCTGAATGTAACCTTTTCTGTAATCTGTGGTGATCATGAAAGCATACATTGTGGCTCAGTGCTTAATCCTTCGGTTTAGCTTTCAACTTAATCAATTGAAACAAAAAATACGATTTTGACTAGTTTCTCAGTACCATTGCAGTACTACTAATGGTAATCTTACACCACATACAGTCATGAGCAAAGGAAGGAATAAGGCATAGGTCACATGTCACAATGATTCTTAGTAATGACTTACAGCTTGGGTGTGGCTCCCAACTGTAAAACTACTTGCATTGCGTCACTAAGATCCATTATTTGTATTGGCAAAATGCTGACCAGAAAAGATTGTCTTACAAGGCAAGGAATGCAGTACACATTTTACCCCAGCCTTTTAAGATCCTCATAACTGAGGATTTTTGCTATCCAGTATATGAAGGAGAGAACACAATTTTGCCCTTGCTGCAAAAGTGCCCTCAAGTGCAGTAATTTACTTGTCTGAATAGGTATGACCAGAAAAAACTCTGATGTATATAGGATAAAGTAAAGGGTTGCACTTTGGAATACAATCTGTTCCCTGCTTTGGATGACATCACTATTTTGAAATAAGTGAAGCAAAGACAAGACTTTCCATATACAACAATGTCATATCTTTCATTTCAGTCCTGGCTACATTTCCAGCCCTGTCTTAAATGTTGCACAGCAGAATGTCACAGGATTGTTACCATACTTATCTAATTACATCATACAGCCACCACATTACAATCATCTGGGTGGTTGTAAAAATTGAGGTCTACAGTTGCACTCTCTGCAAATATAGTGAATTCTGGAAGTGGAGTAAATGGCTCTATACAGGCAGTAGGGCACATTTATTTCAGTGCAGTGCTTTCAAGAAAGTATACATAAAATTGCATCTTAAGATTTTTTTAAAAAAGTTTAATGTATTGTACAAAGCAGTTAAGTCAGAATATGCTAACTGAGTTGTGGGTTAGATTTACAGATACATAAATGGGTGCCAAATAGAGATTTATTTCTGCCTGTTCTCTTCTATAGAAAATGTTTTTAAAACCATAATCCTCAACTGTAGACAGAAATACTGCATGCTGGTGTGAGGGTTTTCAGGGTAAAACTTCTTATGAAAAGCTTTGATTTAGGTTATAGCTTCTGTAGGTAATATTAGGAATAACAGACTTATTATTTATATACAACATTAGTTTAAAATATGTAGTAAGGCTATGGAGCACACCACTAGGATCCTTTGAGAGATATCAGTATGCAAAATTTTGCCTTGATGTTTTACAAAGTAACATACATTTCACTGAGATTTAGGTGAATGTGTACAGTATTCCTAACATCGTCTTCTAGCATAACTTTCCTTTAGTCCTCTGTTGGTGGAACAGGAATTCAATGAAATTGTTCCTGCTTTGGCATCTGTTGGGTTGGTGTAACATCTACATATTGTGCTAGCCAAATTAACGTTCTAAATTCAGAGCAGTAAACAGTAATTATATAAACAAGCAGAAACTTATGGTGCAATTACACACCCACCCACACACACACCCACCCTGCTCTTTAGCCAGGTGGCTTACAGAGCAGTAAAAGCAAGGCAAGGTAGACTCCTGCCCTCAGGCTTGCAATGTAAAAGATGCATCAGAAAAAGAAAACGGAGAGGAAGGAAGGAAGGAGAAAATAAGCAAGCTTGGATAACAATTCTAAGTTACAAGTTCCTATAATGATTAGTTAGGATGGAAGCAGTACAGGAAGAGGAGAAACCAAAATCTACTGCTCTCCATTGCCTTGCATCCTTTCTCTTTTTCTGCTACAGCTTGATGGAATGATTCTGTTCAGGTGACAGTAGTATTTGATAACACTTGTAACAAAATGATAACCTTATTTTCAGTTAATTGTTCAGAAGTTATCAATTGCTATTAACAGTTATGATTGTTGCATGCTACTTTCAAATTCAGAGGCACAATGTTTCTGAATACTAGTCACTGGAGAGCAATGTTGGAGAGGTCTACAGGCCAATTGATGCGTGTCCAGTTGACACATGACCTTGCACATGTGCATCCCCACAACCTGGAAGTGGCTGGGAAAGGGAGTGGGGCAGGCTTAATGTGTGCTTCACCAACAGCAGGGGAGTCAGGAAAACAACCCTTGTGCAAAACAGTCGTTGCCTATATTGTCCTTCCTACTGTGCTTGTGGGTTGGCCACTGTGGGAAGCAGGATACTGGTCTAGATAGGTCCCTTGTCTGATCTGATGGGGCTGCCCTTATATTCTTAACATTGCCAGCTTTCCTTGACACCTGGATTGAATTGTGAGTCATTTGTCCAAGTGAGCTTGCTATAAGGGAAATTCAGCGTATTTTAAAATCCTGTTGATTACATGAAGGTGTTGAGGAAATGGAAAACATATTAACTAATAGGTTTCTGCAAAGTTCCATAGAGGAAATAACTCCAACAAATGTGAGAGTTCTTACAAAGTTACATATTAAACTTTGGTGAGGGAGCCTAAAGGAAAATGTTCTATGCATATGTGGATTGCATGTTGTCTTTTAGTAATAGTGATGCATGTGGTGCATTTAAAAAGAATACGTACCAATTTCATTTAAGATGTTGCTTATACTTAATTATAAGATATTTAAATGTATATTTTTCTTTTAGAAATACGGTTACACACACCTCTCAGCAGGTGACCTGCTTCGAGATGAGAGGAAGAGACCGGGCTCTCAATATGGAGAGCTCATTGAAAGTTACATTAAAGATGGAAAAATTGTTCCTGTTGAGATAACCATCAGCTTGTTAAAGAGGGTAAGATTTTAACACTGCGCTGAGTATACAGTTTTCCATGGGGAGCTATAACAAAACAAAACAAAACAGCTTAAAACAAAACTTTCACGTGGTTAGATAAAAATTTGCTTTCCCTTTGTTATTAGCTAACAAAAACATGCAAGGCCAGTGGGGGGGGGAGCTTTTTCAGCTTGACCGCTGCATTCCCTTGTGGGTAGTCTTCAAGGGAGGGGCACATGCACACATTCCAGCCAGGCAAAAGAACTCTCAAGAGGTGTGTGGAGCAGAACTAATGCTAAGTGGAAGCCCAAGTGCCAGGCAGAGAGGTCTGGAGGACTACATTCAGGCTCCAGGCCTGAGATTTCCCACTGCTGTGCAAGACAGATAGATGAATTACTTTTGTACCTGTTATGTTTTTCATAAAAAACAATGCTTTTCTCTTTAGGTTTGCCAGAACCCTATGTGGAACAGAAACCAGCAGATATTTGGTCTTTATGAATACACTGATCCATTGGGACTTCTGTCTATATTATTGCACTTTATATGTTGTTAAATGCAAGATAAACATTTGATATTGTGATAAGAATATATAGAATAGTATCGTTTATGTGAATGCACAGCCGGTTACGTCTTGTGTGCTTTAGAGCCCAGAGATAGGCAAATCACTCATCTACGAAGGATGTTTTTTATTAATAAATGCTGTACTCCATTGCTGCAAGTAATTGGACTACATGGGCTATATATTTAGGATTCATTTGGCTAGAGCATGATGCGGATAATGTCAAGGTTGCAGGTTCGATTCCTGTAAGGACAGCTGCATTTACCTGTATTGCAAGGGGTTGGACTAGATGATCCTCAGAGTCCCAATTCTGTGATTGGATCCAGAGTTGCCATTCTGTGAAGGGAAGTGGCTGAGATCCTGCAAGGACTCCCTTTGGAGAAAAGGAAGGGAGAAGCAATTCTCTTTCATCCCTTTTGTAGCTCTCACTGCCATCTCCTATTCTGATCTATGAAATCCTCCGCCTTTCAGAACATCTTCTCCTCAAGTTGCAGAGTGAACAAGGAATGAGTGGAAACTGTCTCTCCCCTGTTTCCTTCTGTGTGAATGTCCCATCTATTTTATTTTTGTGGTAGACATTTGTTCATTAAAATGCTTTTCCAGTTGTGCCATAAGTATATTGGTATTAAGATAGTATGGAATTAACTTTAAGGTTGCAAGAAATGTATTTGGTACACCTATAACAGTTCACATGAAAAGCACACGTGTATTTGTAGTACAGGGGGATTATTACTTAGATGTCACAATACTATGCTTGTAGAAAATCATGTTTAATATGAGCTCTCTGTTACCCATCAGGCTATGGATGAAACTATGGAAGCCAATGCACAGAAGAATAAATTCTTAATTGATGGATTTCCCAGAAATGAAGACAATCTTCAGGGCTGGAACAAAACCATGGATGGAAAAGCAGATGTATTGTTTGTTCTCTTTTTTGATTGTGACAATGAGGTAATCACAATATCAAGACACTTGCAACTTTCCTCTGTGCTGTATGAAGAGAGACAATGAAAAATGTTCCATTGTTCCATTTCTCTTTTCCCTTCTATACATTTTGATACTAATTACAGTATGTGTTAATTGGTTCCTTCCCACAATAAGCCTAGATAATTTTGTGGCAAAATTGTCTCGCAATTACAATTAACTGACATGGTGGAAAAATGTTCTATTGAACTGTCCCATAGCAGAAAGAAGTATTGGTTACCAGAGCACAATTAGAATTGTAGAAAGTGGGAGATATCTTTTTTTCTTTTGCTTCCAGCAGTGAAGAAGTTTTTGCGAGCACTGATATTCTATAGTATTCAGGCAAAATTAATTCTTATATCAACCACCTCTTTCCCCCAGTTCTGTCATCTTGAAAAATCACTTTGTCCTTTGCATTAGATAGGGTATTCTCTTTAGGAAATAAAAGACTGCATACATTCTTGGATGCTGTACATAAACGATAGTTCAGTATATGTGTTGTATTTTGCCTGGTACAGTGAATTTCAGTGGATAATTAGACTTCAAGGGCTTTTACCACAGTATGCTAGGTCCGTTTTGGAGATGCCTTTCTGTTCTACTGATTGTGAAATGTCAGATTTCACGTTGCTGGAATAAGGTCTAAGTTCTTATTTCACTTAAAAGTTTCCAAAAGTGGTGTTATCGATATACAGCATAAGTAATTGAAGGTAAGCTGAATATATTAATGCAAAATGTTTAATTTTGTCTTGTAGTACAAGCTTTAGTCTTGTACCTTAAAAAAGCCAAGTATTTTGTTTACTTTTTGTAGCTTCATGTTTTGATAGTGGCTTCATGTTTCAATAACACTTTTATTTTTAAGGTATGTATTAACCGTTGCCTTGAAAGAGGAAAGAGCAGTGGCAGAAGTGATGACAACAGAGAAAGTCTGGAAAAAAGGTACTGTGTCCATGCATAATTTCTGTGTTAGACTTCCTGATGCTTTTCAATTTCACGACTTTGCTGTATCTTTCTTTCCCTTAGAATCCATACATATCTAGAGTCTACCAAGCCCATAATAGACCTCTATGAGAAAATGGGCAAAGTTAGGAAAGTAGATGCCTCTAAATCTGTTGATGAGGTAAGTTGTGAAGAGAGAAGGTTTGGTTTTGAATTTCTTTACATGACCTATTAACCACACACAAGCACCAGGATTTTCTTAGGGCTTAAATATCCCAACTCTTCATTGCATTTTAAATTATCTTCTTTGTCTTACATGGGGAAGATACCAGGTAAATCTGTGGTCAGCGTTAAAACAGAAATGTCTTAACGGTCAAGCAATTTACACCTATTTTCAGTTCATCAATTCAAAACAGCTACCCAGATCCCAGTCACAAGCATGGCTGCACATAAGATTGAAAGTGTGTGCAGGGGGTTTCTTCAGGGCACCATGCGTACAGGAATAGGGCATGGATCCAAGTGCAGTGTACTTCATCCTACAATTGGCATGCCCTTATTGTCTAAGACAGGATGGCACAATGGTTGATGTGGTTGGCACAGTGAGACAGAGCTGCAGCAATAGCATTAGCATTGCTTCTACTTACCAAGAGGGGGAGCCCTGAGGTGGCACTGAGATTGGAATTTTGAGAGCACATTGATATGAGCACTAGATTGAGACTTCCGGGTTGGCGCCATTGCCGAATGGCGGACTCCCTCCGAGCTCCGGAGGGAGTCTGCTCGGCAGGGGCTGGGTCCTACCGCGCCGGCGACGCGGGGACCCTTAAAAACCACGGGCACGGAGTCCGTGGACATGGGTGACTCGGCTTGCACCATTAGCGCCCTCCCGACTCGTGAAGGAGCCTTTTTAAAGGCTTCGGATCGGGTGCCGGGGAGCGGCGTGGTGCTTTGAGTCCTCTGCTTTCCCTGCCGAGCGCAGCCGCATGCCATTCGACGGAGAGCGCTGACTTCTTCCATTGAAAATTTGGACTATTAACAACAACCCGTGAGTAATTGGGAAACCGGGTTTAAAATTTTGGATTTGGCACGAGCGGGGGCGATTTAAAAAGGAAGTCAATCCCCCCCCCCTACTGTAAGCATTCCAAAACAAGGACTGGGTAACCAAGGTCCAAAGGGAAGTATATTCTTGATAAAAACCATTAATTTCACGATGGGAAATTATAAGAACTGTGCTGGAGGAGAAGAGTGGAGGGTGAGAAGAAAAATGCAACCCCCCCCCCCTGGGAACCGGGGCGATTCGTGGAGCCTGGTGAAGAGAGACGGAGACTTTGACAGCTGTCAAAGTGGCTGTCAAAGTTGGAGAATATAAAGAGGACTTTGTTATGAGGACTTTGCCGGTTAATTTTGCTACAATTTGCTACAATATGGATATAAACTGTTGGAAAATAAGCAACAATTTGACTTTTGGATTAGAGGATACAAAGTTATTACAAACCCCTAGAGGGGTTTCGGGATATTACAAGAACGGTCGTAAGTGGAAAAATACTCTGGGATCCGCACAGGACTTGTTATCTTTTGGGAAAGCTGCAAAACTGAAATAGTATTTTGTCTACAGAGGTATTTACATTAAAGGAGACAATAGAATTTTCTATTGAAGAAAGGAAGGAACTGGACGTAAGTTTTTGTTCCTGAATAACAAACCTCTGCAGAGATACCAGATTTCTGAATTAGAAAGTTTTAGCAGCCGAACAGGACAAGAAACCTGAGAAAGTGAGGAAAAGAAGAACAAAGGACTGATTACGACACGGAAAGAACAATGGGAGGAGTGGTAAAGATCAAGGAAATTAAAGGCCTTTGTTAGATTGGACACTTGAAGTTACATATTATTAATAAATTAAAAGAAAACCGGCAAGATGGAATCGGGGAGAAATTTGGTCATGAATTGAGACTTCCAAGCTGATAATGCATAGACTGATGGATATGGGGAATTCAAACCGCGCAAGCGGGGGAGATTTGAAATCCAAAGGCTGTGTAACCATCTTTTGAATTTTTCTATATCTTTTATCTTTTATATTTTTACATAACTTACGCATGTCATTTTATTTTGATTGGACGTGTTTAAAAAAAGGGAACTCGTGGAAGGAACTGGGGTGGATCTTGGGGAAAATCTTTTTTCTTTTCTTGTTAATGATGTGGGACGGTGGTAAGATTTGTACAATTCAATTTGGATAGTGGGTTAAATAAATTAAGCTTCAAATTGGGAGTGAGAGCTTGTAGAACTAAATTAAGGAAAGGGAATACAGTCGGGGGGAGGGGGAGTCCCAGAACGCAGGCAAGGAAAGTAAGGTTTTTAAATATCTCTTTTTCTTTTTCTTTTTTTTCTTTGTATTTTTATATTTTTGGAAACTTTAATAAATATGATTTAAAAAAAAAAAGATATGAGCACTAGATTCTCTGCCAGTATGTCCATGCAGTCCTGACCTCCCTTGCCACTTTGCCCTTCCTCTTCTTGGTAAGTGTTAGTGACTTGGCTGCAGAATCCTGAGCTTGCACTCCAGGGATCACACTATAAATTTGATTGCCAGGATTGGAAGCTCCTTGAGACCCTCCATTATAGTTTCTGATTTTTGTACTGCAGATGACATTCAAATGTTCAAATCAGTGCAACCAAAAATTATTATCAAGGGGACAATCTATATAGTGAAGACAGGCAGTTGAAATACAACTATGGCCTTCTGTCAGGAGAACAGACACCATTAGTTTCCTTCTATCCCCTGAAATCCTCTATGCACCCCCAAAATCTGCAAAAGATTTGGGACCCTTGAGCAGATAAGTAGGAGAGGGGCAGAAGTCTCATTGTGTGAGTGGAAGTTTTCTTGTGCATCACAGTATCATCCACAGGCCTCACATTAACTTCAATGACAGATATATCAGTTAGAAAATACTGATTTCACTGTCAATCCCGTCCCTTCTGTGTTTCATTGACTACCTGACTTCCAAGCTGCCTCCATCACTGCTCTAAAACGTTTACATCTGTTTTCACCTCTAATTGCCTTAGGCTGGGTGCTACATGTGCATGGTGGTAGATTGTAACTTGAATAGGCCTGTTGAACATAGTGATTATAAGAAACTCACAGTACCATCCCTTTTAAGGCTCTGAACGCTTTGTGTTAGTGTTTGTCCTGCCTTTTTATACTATGAATGTGTTTTTAGCTTTTACTCTCTTTTAGCTTTATGTTTTAATGTGCAGTGTGTGCTTTCTTGATACATCACTTGAGTTTATTTTTTCATTTTTAAAAAGCAGCTAATAAGTGCAATAAATAATTGTTTGCAGTATTCATGAAACGTGCTTGTTGGTATAATGTAGAAAAATTATGTAATGTCTTTTCTTTTGCAGGTTTTTGGCAAAGTTGTGAAGATCTTTGATAAAGAAGGCTAGTTCTCTACTTGAACACTGTTTTCAAACTTGCTTGAATCTTGCTTTAAGAGCTGCTACTATAGTTCATTTTATAATGGTGATAAAATATGCCTTTTTAAACACTTTTGTGTTGAAAACAGTTTAAAAATGGTTAATTTGAAAGCCTGGTTTAAAATATGAGTTAGAATTAGATATGGCTTGTCATTAAGATAGATACAGTCAAAAAGATTTGCAACTGGTAAAGAACCCTAATTGCAGAACAAAAATAGTAATTAAATGCTAATCCTAGCTATTTTCAGAAAGCATCTGGTGATCCCCTTAATTTGTCTTTTCTTACTGTCCAAAGCCATGTTGTTTTTTAGAATCCCGTATACTGAAATTGTAAATATAAGTAAGAGGGCCTGTTGAATTTCTTTTCGGTTTCTTTTTCTTTTAGTTTTGGACCAAATATGGGGAAATCATATGTGTTTTTTAAAAATATATATGATATTTGCTGTTTTGAATGACAGGCAATTGCTGTAAGCAAAAGTTTTAAACAGAGTATCCCCTTTGTATTGAATAGTTCTTGTTTAGTTGGTTGCTAATAATGCAATGACCCTCATGAGGCACCCCAATATTAACCACACTACTTGGAAGTTGTCCCGTTCCTTTCACATTTTGGTGCTCCCTGTATCCCACACATGCTTGAAGGCGAAGCCTCTGAGAAAAGGAACCGCACAGTATGCAGAGTGTGTGCAAGTGTGGCAAGAGGGACAGCTCCTTTTCCAGAGATAATGAGGAGCAACAGTATCTGGAAATCACGTACGTTATAGTTTATAATCGGTGGGTTGGATTCAATCTACGTTGCACTTAGGTCCCACTGAAATCAATTTGAAAAGTTTAGTCATGAGTAATTTTAATCCCATTGATTTTAATGGGAGAATGCAATCAGCAGAGCAATCCTTAACAGCTCCTGCAGGATCCATCCTGATAATCCCATTTTGCGAGTTTTGCACTGTCTATCCCCCTGAGCACAGCAGAAGCCTCCATCACAGCAAAACCAGGCAAATACATACCATCTCAGAGGGTTAGGACTGCAGCCTAACTTAAGTTGGGTCAAGCCTAGTGCATTTAGGGCTGAGGATTCAGATTATGTAGGTGCTGCACACATTTAGGTGTCTGTGTATTTGCAAGTAATATGGGCATTTTGTATTTGCAGTACCCACAAGGGTTAAGAAATCAGATATTTGAAAGCAGCTATTACGGTAACATTCACTTGCCACACAACTCTAGCTGCATGATAAAATAAATCTAGAAGCTTTGTAACAAAATTATTTATTCAGTGATTTGAAGTGTATGTTTTGAGATAGGTTGGAGGGGAAATTCTTATGATTATATTTTCCGCTAAAATTGTATAACTTGGACATTTCGACTCAATTATACGTTTGATATGGTTTGACCAATATAAAAGCATACTAGATCGTTATTGTTTAAATTTAATGTGTTGCTGGTGGCAGAAATGAGTTTTTAATAACTTGATTAATTTGGATAACAAAAACATGCTGAAATGCTTGCACAACTGTTCTAATTGCACATTTCTTTAATTTAAAAATGGCATAAAAATATGGGGCTGGTTACTTAAATCTGTGGGGTTATTATTCTTTTTTCTTTTCTTAAAATGTCCATTGAATAGGATCTGGGAAATGTGATGATGCATACTTATTAGTGCACTCATTAAGGTTTCTTGTGATGGTTGCTTCATAAGCTACCATTTTAACTATGTTTACAACTATTATTTTTCCTATTTTTGTCTCTCTCTCACAGAATAGCTTTTAGTGATATATTTTGTCTTTTAATTAAAATATAATTAAGGAACTGCAATTGACTTTGGCCAGCTGAACATTTGTGCTTTGACTTCACCGGTGTTCTCAAGAAGTAGAAAGCCTAACTGAAAATGTGCGGTATTAGGATGAGATTTTTGCATTAAAATACACCATGTTATTGAGATTAGTTGCAAAAACTTTGAAAGGTGCAGCTATTTTGTGGGGGGAATCATGGCCAACTTTTCTCAGAGCGTGTACAAACCAACACATAGTCTTATTCTAGAGAATTGGCTTTTCAGTTACTTCCCCACAGGGAAACCTTGATTGTCTGCAAAGAGAGCCCTGTATATCTGCCATAGAATCTGCTTGTTGCACAGGATTCTGGGGAGTATTTTGGTGTGCACTCACAAAGGACTTTAGGAAGGTCTGTTGCAGCCCAGCTGTTACTCCTTGCAGACTGAGTACTCCATGCAGGACACACATTCCAGGAAACCCTCTCCTGATCCATTGTTACCAGTTTTGTTTAGTTTTTCTGAGGATCCCTTAATAAGCATCTATGGAACTCTTGGTTCCTTATGACCATAGTTTGAACCACTGTTATAAATTAACATACTGCTCCTACTTGTAGTAACAATCACTAAAGCTGATTAAAATCATCATCAATTCCCCCCTTCCCCCACAAAAATCATTCTATATACATCTTTGAAAATTGGAAAATCTACTCTTCTCCCTTTCTGCTGTGAAGGACAATCTCTGCGATTTGCTTATGCCTTAGTAGACACGCTTAAGGCCTAAAATAGTGAATTTGGGAGCTGGGATCCTTCTTGTTGGTAGGTAGCTAGCTAGCTGGTGAGCATTTCCTGGAAGTGGGGATGAACCTGGTGTTTATAAGCATGCTGTGTTCTTGGACTTGTCTCTCCCAAAAAGGAAAGGTAATCTATTTGTAGTGATTGTCTGCTACAGCAGGAAGACAAAAAGGGATTCAGTGGAACTAAATTCAGGCCTGAGTCAAAGGAAGCTTGAAGATGGATGGGTACACAAAGGACTTCTTCAACTGCTCAGATAGGAAACCTGTATAACCATAGGTTGTGTGCAGAATACTTCACATGCTTTGATTGTGGCATTTACGGCACTTCAATGTGCTGGGGGTAATGGATCTATGTATGTTGATCCTGTCTGTATGCTATCAAATAAGCCAACATAGTATCAAATGACCTGAAGTGTTACCAAAAAAACCTTTTAGAAAGTCCTTCCGTAAAGTTAGTCATTAGATAAGAATCCTCATTGTAGTGATATTGCGGTGTTTGAATTTTACGAATATTAATCGAAGTGAGTATGTTTTCTTGCTATGTATTCTGCTATCTGTTTGAAAACTGAAACAACTGTATTTTTTATTTTTTAAAAATATGCTACCAATATTGAATTTGGGGTTTAATCGTGTCGTTTAAACAATTGGGATTGATTCCTTTTGTCACTCTTACAGATGCCATGAATGCAGTGTTTTTCTCTCCAACCCCCCTCCCAGCGCCATTTTCTGCAACCAGAAAAAAACTGTATAATTCCATGGAGCAGCAAATTGTAAAAAAAACTTCTAAAATGTACACAAATAAAATTTTGTTCTCAAATAACCTACTGGTGAATCATTGCCATTATGTGTCTGCAAAACATAGCGGCTCTACTTTAAAATACACCACTGTTTTTTGTAGGAACACATGTGGGGGAAGTAGGGCAGAGCTGTCTGAAAATCCAAACACCATCCTAGTGATATTTGTACTTGACTATAGATGGGAGGGGGGAGTGTTTGACTTGTAGCTATGCATTTTGGAAGAAAGCCCTGCTAAATGTCAAGACTCAGAACGTGGCCGTACGCATCTTCATTACTCCAGATTGCCACAAGGAGGAGTGCTTGTTTTGTATAGAATGGCTCGAGCTCGCAGGTGAGAGGTTTAGGCTCTGTACATTACTGCTAAACAAAAGTTTGTTTTAAGTGTTCACAAAGTAATGATGTGGTTCAAAGCGGGTGAATTTCCTGAGCCACGAACAATTTTTTATGGTTTTACGGACTTTTCAAGCTGCCTGTGGAATCTGCGAGAAGTCTCTAGATAAGAAATGCAAGATCAGTAAGAAGAATCAAGTGCTTCACTGTAAGCTCTAAAGACTGCCATCCTACAGAGCCTCCAAATCACAACTTGGGAGGTTTGGTGTACTGCGTGGCAGCAAGCAAGAGCAAATGCAACGGGCCAGGTACAAGTACTTCCTCCAAACCCTCCTCCAGAACAGCAGAGAGGAGGTGTTGTTTTGTCTGGGAAGTAGAAATGCTTGTGCATGCAGAATGATCAAATCAGAACAATATTGAATTTCTCCCTGTGTTCTTAGCAGTCATCAACCAGAGTGATGAATCAATAAGAGATCTTGTGTTGCATGTCTTATGAGACTGAGCTTCAAATGAAGATCCCTTGCTTGAGTCTTGCCACTGCCATGAACTTACCATCTTTTTAAAAGCCAGTATGTCTCTGAGCCTCAGACCCTCTCTGCAATACAGAGCTAATAATACTGACCTACCTTACAAGGTTGTTGCAAAAAGTACAGTAAGGCGATTTTGTTATTGTTATTGCTATTATTGTTATTAAAAGTTGTATACTACCCTTTATCTGAAGATCTCAGGGCAGTTCACAGCATAAAAATACAATATAAAACAGCAAAAACAAAAACAAACCAATAGATGATCCTCGTGATCCATTCCAGCTCTTCAATTCTATGATTTTGTAATAACCCTCCTCTCCCACAAGCACATTTAAAAGGATATAGGATGTGAAATGCTTTGAATGCCTATGTTTTGATGGTGTGACAGCACTGCAGGGCCAACCTCCTGACACAGGGACCACTATAGTTTATCTGTTTCGGGCAGGACAGTAGTAGTGATGTGTTGGGGCTGCACAGACGCACCAGCAGGAATCCCAGGTTGGCTCTGCCATTACATCTGTGCAGTCCTGTTGCTGTAAACCGTAGCAACTCGGGGCTTGTAAACCACCTGGAGCTCACTTGGTTGCCTTTTGGGCTTGGGAGTGCCCGGCCTTCCTTTCCTAGAGATTGAAAGTGGAACCTTTTGCAGGCAAGGCATGTGATCTATCACTGAACTATAGCCCTTTCCTTTCCCAACTATTTGCTCCCATTGAGAAAACTTCAACCCACCCATTCGGGGCCATTAGCCACTACAGTAATCTGCTTAGGCAAAGGAAATTTGGTCAGTCACTAACAATATTAGTTTTGATGAATCTGTAGGGTCTTTTCTTTTGTAATGCTTATGAGACATTAGGATGGGAAGCTTGAAGAAGGATGCTTTGAACTTGAAATGTCAGTGTTACTGTAAAGACAGTATCATTTTTGTTGTTGCTGTGATTTCCTTTTTGTGTCTGGAGAAAGACATTGAGCCCAGGATGGGGGAAGGGGAAGAACTTTGCGAAATAGTGCTTTACTTTGCACGAAAATGAAAGATTTGATTATTACAGTTTGGATGACATGCTTGTTAAAAGTTAATTAAAAAGGCTCTCTTAATTAAAGTGATAAGGCACAGGTGACCTTAATAAAATGTCTCTTCAATATTAAGGTAAAATTACTCATTTTAGGGATGAATGTGCCCTTCTCTCCCACAGATCATTCACGGTAATACTTAATGTTTGTGAGTTTCAGACCTTTGATTTCTACAGTGCTGAAGTGGGTTACTGGTTACCAGATCCTTATTTGCATGAAAGTTTGAAATACAAAGGAACTATTAATAAGGGCAGTTACTGAATTGTTATTTTTCTGTTGACAATTGTTCATTAATGAAGGATTTTGTTATTGGCCTTATTCATTAGAGAAACTTATCTTCTTCTTTTTGCTCTTAAATATATGAATCATGATAATGGCAATCTCTCTCAACTGGGTCAGTTATTCAACAACACACCTGTGCGCCTTTTGCTACAGACCGTTCCCCTTATACTGCCTTGAGTGAGTGCTACTGAGGAATAAAATGATGAGTAATCTTAGAACAGGAATTTGTGACCAGAGATAACACTGGACCTTCTCTTTGCTGACATGTGGACTTTTAAAGCTCTCCTGGTCCCTGAAGAATTCAAGGAAACTCAAAATTTGAGCCCTATTTTGTGCCATTTTGATTAGCCTGTTAAAGGTGTCAGCATCGCCCTTGAGCCAGTGCCACCAACTGGACTCACACTGGACTGGGCTAGGCGAGCTGGGTAGCACTTCCAGAGACCACCTTCTGCACAGGAACAGGTCAAAGTGCTGTGGACTCACAGCTTAGAGTTGTGAACACCGGATTCACTCCAACAAGAAGACAGTCCTCGCACAGCAGAGTACAGCAGAGTCTAGCAGAGCATAAACGACTCAGAAAGCAGCTCTGTAGAATATCTTCTTTTATTCTATCTACAACTATAATACACAACTATATACAGAGCTAAATGAGGTCTAAGCTTAAATGAATGCTGAACTGCACTGAGTGTCTGCAGCTGCTCTTAGCAGCAACCTTATATATACACACGATCTCTCTCTAACACTCAGTGTCTCTATCTCCGACACACTGACTGACTGACTGACTGACTGATGTTAGGCTGGAGCAGAATAAGTAGGGAGCAGAACATCGACCCTCCTCTCTGGAAAATCACCAGACTCATCAGCAGATTCTTGGATATGGGAGGGGTGAAATCTCAAAAGGTATTGCCCATTTTAGATTTTTTCCCCCTTATATGCCAGTACAGCTACCTTTTACTGCTGTATTATTTTAGTCCAACTTCAACTACTCTTATATGAGATTATATTTGATGCAAGTCAGGCTAAGGAACACAAGTAGGATTAGACTGGACATGGAGGTTTATTGGGGGACAAGCACTGTGGTTGAATGGGCTTAGGTATAGAAACATCTTGCATCCACTGATTCCAGGATCCACTTAAGCTATTGTTGAGTGCTTTGCATGAGAGACAGGAGGCTGTATTTTTACCTCCTGTATTGCTGCCAATTCCGAAAAAGTAATGTTGCTTTATGTCTCATGCATGTGAGGGCCACTGCCTACATCACTTGTTTTTACTTTCCTGGTGTGCACCTGCTGTCTGGTTTAATATATTTACAGCTCTGGGGGCAGGGGATAGAATAGATCACCATGTTTTGCATGTTCCAATAAACTTGTGTGGCTCATGGCATTTACACTACAGCATTCCATGTGGTTGTATCTCATCACCTCATGCTGTTTAACACCTACATGAAGCTGCTGGATGTGGTTGGCTCTGGAATTTATTTACAGTGGTACCTCAGGTTAAGTACTTAATTCGTTCCGGAGGTCCGTACTTAACCTGAAACTGTTCTTAACCTGAAGCACCACTTTAGCTAATGGGGCCTCCAGCTGCTGCTGCGCCGCCAGAGCCTGATTTCTGTTCTCATCCTGAAGCAAAGTTTTTAACCTGAAGCATATTTCTGAGTTAGCGGAGTCTGTAACCTGAAGTGTATGTAACCTGAGGTACCACTGTACTAAAAAATATATATATACCAGTATATCATAAAAATATATCACAAAAATAACAACAATATACAACCAAAATCAGACAATAAAATCATAAAAGTTAAAAAGCAGTTAAAAGCAATAATTTAAAAAGTGAACATCAATAGACTGTTGTGGGGGATGTACTCTTTAACTGCCCACTTAGGCCAGGCAGAATAGACAGAAATTCAGCAGGTTTTTAAGAGTTGGCACAGAGGCACCCACTGAATCTCTGTTGGGAGGGTTTGCCACAGGACTGGGCTGATAACGCTAAAGGCTCGCTTTCTCATTGTCAAATGAGCCTCACCAACTTGGAGAATTGCTGTAAGGTGCTGTAAGTACCCAGCTCTGCTTCTCATTTCATGCAATCAAAATGTCACATTGCAGGCCCTGAAAAAATTCACAAAGTAAAAGAGGGAACAAAGGCTAATAAACTGAAGCTACTGTTGGTTTGTGAGATGTTCTTCATCCCAATCAAGATGAGGTTGTATCTCAACCATTCAAGATGCAGTTCCCATGATGCCAATGCTTTTAGATCCAACCTTTCTTGTGGATTTGATTCCCTATGGCTGCCAAGTTGGGTTTGGGTATGGCCAACTTTCCAGTACGGAATTAAAGATGCGACCCTAGTGCAAAATTGTTTATCCATCTCAAAATATGGAGCCACATGTTTCTACAAGCCAAATTCCATATAAAGAAGAAACCAAAGCTCTCTCTAGCTGTGTGTCTGGGAAGAAAAATGCCATAAAAGCCTAATAAAGTCAAAAGCTTTTTATTATTCTAAAATGAGTTGCTCTGTGCTTTTGACCTTTCAGTACATATTGAAGACTTACCTGCCATAAAGATTTAGTCTGGGCCCAAATCCCATCACCTCGCTCCTTTCTTCTCCAGAAAGAGAGCTGTCATCACATTGCTGAATCTTTTAAGTCTGCCTCAATGCTTGTCGTCTCTCTTGCTTAATAAAAGAGAGAGAGAGAGGGATAGGAGCTATGCATTAGGTCACCCTTCTCTTTTATGGTGGGCTGCTTGTTCTTTTACTATTTTCCCTGACCGCCTGCTTGTGGTAATTCTGTCAAACAAAATTTCTGATTGAATGGCTT